AATTTTCGAGAAAATAGTACATCCGGACAAACTATGACTAAAGTCATGGATGTGCTTAATCGGATACCTGTCAGGTACGGTCCGGGCGTTCAACTTACGGTAATCGCCGCAAGGACGCCATCCGTCGTTCTTCTTAGGGGCCAGATGTAGCGGAGATGACCAGGGGCTTTTAGAAGGCCTGGCAGTGCCACATGAAAGCATCGCCTCGAACTCCTGCTTCGCTATTTTCAGCTTGTCCGGGGCTAGACGACGTGGAGTTGAAGCTACTGGAGGTCCAGGGGTAGTGATAATGTGGTGTACAGTGTTGTGAGGTAGTGTAGTGCGTCGCATACCGGCTGGTCGAGTTAATTCTGGAAACTCATTAAGAATTTTGTGGTACCGAGTCTCGCCAGTTACCAATTTAACAGAGGAAATACTGGCTCGAGCTACAGTCGCCACAGTTGACACAGAAGTTAACTGATCTATTAATCGCTTATTACGAATATCAATAGCAATGTTATAAAAATTTAAAAAATCTACGCCTATAATTGGCTTTGTGACGTCAGCAACGACGAACCGCCACGGAAAAGTTCTACGTAAACCAAAGTCTAGATTAAGATGTACAAAACCATATGTATAAATATTAGAACCATTCGCAGCACATAAACAGTAGTCCGTGCGGGAACGACGATCACGTAGCGCAGACTTCGGGAAGACACATAGATCGCTCCCTGTGTCAATCAGGAACTGGAGCTTCGACGTACGGTCCGTGATAAAAAGGCGACCAGCTGTATATGAAGGGCAATCGTCAGTCGCCATTACCGACCGCCCCTGGAGTTTTCCGGCTTGTAGTCGCACGGCCGGATACACTTCACAGCTTTTTCCTTGAAGTTACTGTGGTACCAGCATAGCGGGAACTTGCGGTAATTAGACTGGGACCGCTGTCTCGATTTATTGCGGCTACCACGAGACTTTGATCTGCCACGGTCACGTTGCCGGTCCTGTTTCTCAAGGGTCAGATTCTGCAGCTGTCTTCGTAACTCCGCTACTTGTTTCGTGAGTTCGTTGACTATGGAACCTTCAACTGTGGCTACCATAGACGTTGAAGACGCGAGGTCGTTGACTCGATCGGCTAAGTCCGCCAGGTTCTCCAGCGAGGCGGTGGCTGGTTGTCCTGCAAGCACGGTTTGGATGCCGTGAGGAAGACGGCTGATCCAAATCGTCCTCAAGAATTCGTCTGGAACGTTCACCGATGCCAGGCTCTGCAAGTGTCGGAGAAATTGGGAGGGTTTCCTATCTCCTAGCTCCTCGTGCATGAGCAATTGCTTCAGTTTGTTCTCCTTAGATGCACTCAGTCGCTTGATAAGCTCCGATTTCAACTTAGCATACTTATCCACCGAAGGAGGGTTGACAATGATATCTTTCACCTCTCTAGAGTGTTGCATGTCGAGGTGCCCGATGACATAATTAAATTTAGTATTGTCATCTCTAATCCCGGAAATCGCGAACTGTCCCTCTATCTGCGCGAACCAAATGTCAGGTTCCTCGGGCCAAAATGGTGGCACCCTTACTCCGACTCTAAAAACATCGACACTTTTTATCGACACATGCCCGTCACTAGTGCTTGGGTGTGGCTCTTGTGGCAATGTGCCTTGCGCATCTTGAGATCCGGTACTCATGTTCGGTATACGGGGTCACCAGTGTAGGTACTAGGGTAGTAACTACTTGTCCCGTGTATGAGGAGTAAATAAAAAAGTTCAACTCACTGTTATCACAATGTATTTGTCCAGCACACGAGAAATAAACAGAAGGTACAGTAGGTAGAAGATACAGGCACAAGCACAGCACAATTAGCAGTTTAAATAGGAAGATAGCTAGTTCAAGAATAGCACAAGAGATCACTAGATATTTAAGCAGTATATAAATAATATATAAGCACTACTTTCACAATATTTAGGCGGTACGAAGGGCTTAGGTAAGCAAGCGTGCGGTCTACAACGGTAAGGAATTCAGACTGTTCGAGACGGCGCACGCGCAGCGGTTGCCGGCGCGTATTTCATCTAGCTATACATTTAGATAGCATAGTGAAAGGGATGTGTCGATAGAATTTATCGACAAACCGATATGTATCGCTGTGAAATGTAATATTTATTTATGATGTACTTATATTAAAAACGTGTGTATTAATGATGTATATATATGTAAATAATATGTTAGGTGTAGAATAAGTGTAAATATAGTAAACAAATAATAATATATAATCTCTGTGTTAATGTTTGGTGTATTACGTGTAATACGTAGTAAAACTCAAATGAAAGTAGGGGGAATCCCTACAGTGTCTTTAGTTTTTATTTCTGTTGTGATATCAGGTAGGTACAATCTATTATTTATTATGCAGAACGTCAGGATTGAGGAACCAAATAAAAGGCGTTTATTTACAAAATTCACTCAGTTTTACTACTTTCTCCTGTTACCTACTACAAATTCAAACCCACTTGCTACTAAATGTTTTTGGAATAGAATATAAATTTTGACTTTTTACTTTCATGGCAATTCACACTCATAAATATAGATTGAGGAGCCACATTAAAAGTGTTGTATATTCTTGAATATCAATAGTACTGGATTCAGATTTTTAGTAGGCACTATACACAATTACTACTAAATGATACAAAGTTTTCAAAAATATTCATTAAATACTTTCCGTGTTCCAGGTGGCTCCTCAATTCAAATGTTTAGATTGAGGAGCCACTTTTACATTGACGTAACTTTGGATATATCTTACTACAAATTTCAGGATTTGTCCTACAAAATTATTTTCTCACCTACTAAATGAGGGGGCAGTTTCCGTTTAAAATTCGTTTAAATTCTAAAATGGGTCCTCAATCCATACGTACACATTTTTTTAACTTTAGTTTGTAATTTAGTTTAGCTTAAATTTAATTATTGTAATTAGAATATCGCAATATGAAAAAATCTGTAAAGATATTGTAAGAAAATAAATAAAATATTGGATATCAGTCAGCACACAGAGTACAGATAGCTCACCGTATCACAGAGACGTCATTGTTTTAATGAAGTGTGTTACTCCAGCAATCATTTAATGTTATAAATATATAGTTGCCCAGCTTGTGTCACTGACCCTGGCAGGCCTACCATCATGGATTTTAATTTTGATAATTTAAAAATTTAGTCGCTTATTTCTCTTAAATATCGGAATTAGTCACTGGTTCAAAAGTTTTAGCGTTAATAGGGGGCCCTGCTGGAGTCTCTGCCCAGCAGGGCCACACTTGTATGTCAAAAACTAGGGTACCTAGCGGAGATCTATTTTTTCCTGCAAGTGCGTGCGTACTATACCAAAAAAGTGTCGGAAAGAAGTCTTGTTACACATTTTTCAGTCAAGCCCCATCCGCTCAGTGTGTAACGCGCGATAAGGAACTTAATTTCAATGAAAACGACGAAATTGTATATTAACGTTCATTTATTACACCACATTTTTAATAAATAGTCTACAAACTGCACACGTTTCAAACACACATCACTCTTCATCCAGTATTATGTGAGGAGATCCTTTGACTTACATTAAATATAGCTTATTATATATTATCTATGTACAAGATGGAGCTCTCGTCCATTCGCATTAAGAAAATAGTGACGCCTCACCGTCTCACCAGGTTCCAAGCTATCTTGACATCACACATCAACAACCTTTAATAGCCCACTGCTGGGCATAGGCCTCTCCTTAGAAAGGAGGTTTTGGCCTACTATACCACAGGTTGGTATTGGGTTTGTGTCAAGTTTTTCTTCTCTCTGCAATGATGTTGTTTTGCGTAGTTTGCTTGGTGGTGGTGACATTCAATATTCTTAATCCGTCACCACACATAGCTTTGTATGCATATTACTATATTATGTACTATTCTGTCTTATAAGTGTATATAGCGTGGATCATTGTTATGTAAGGGAGCGCTTCTCGCCTTCAAACGTTAAACTTTGGCGAGTTTAGAACTAAGTAACACCTCTGTACTACAATTTAATTTATCAGAATAACAATAAAAACGCCAGCTTTCGTACTAAACGATATTTTCTTGGAGCCTGATTTGACCAATGAGATTCCAATAAATTGTCGTTTCGTCGGCCAGCGCTTGGTCGATGCGTCACTGGTTTTTTAAGGCGAATGGACTATAGTTAATAATAATTATTGAGTATTATTTGCCTCTTACGTAGAGAGAGCTGCCTTTATTAAAGTAACTACAATATTAGGTCATAAAAGTGCAGGCCTGACTATACAACAGTTGCTGTTTTTTCAAGAAAATATTGTGAACCCTTCTAATATTATAAATGTAAAAGTAACTCTGTCCGTTTGTATATTACGCTTACATTGCTGAATCGCTGAACAGATTTTAATGAAATTTGACATAGACAACAGTGACTAAAGAGAAATAGAAGAGTAGGTACTTGTTTACTGTGGAGTAGAACATACATAGCCTCAGTATATTTTTATATAATTAGTTCTCTTGTTAAAAATGATATAAAGATAGATGGAAAGCAAGAGAACCAGAGATAAAAAGATATTTTTAAATAAAATTGTTTTAAATACAGTTTAGTTACAAAAGCCTCTCTAAAAGTTAATTTAAGTGTAAAATATATTGGGCAGTCGGATTTCGTAAAACTAGGAACAATAATAAATATACACAAGGGGTCACTTATGACCCCAAGGGTACTAGGGCATTTCGACCCTATACAGTATCTCTTCGTACAATCTATAAAAACTTCACACCGATGAGTTTATTTCATATATAACTGCATTAAACTATTAAATAAATAAGTCTTGTATTTAATAAATTAGATTCCTATGAATGTCTGTAGTTTCGCAATAGTACCTTACAATGGGGTCATAGTGACCCCTTCAGTAAAATACTCTATTTCTTTACTAGCAAGTAGAGATGATAAGTTGGTAGGCCATCCCGTTTAGTAAAGGTTATTACGACGTATACCGGGCGTGGGGTCATTTTGACCCCCACCTAATCTTCTACACTATTAGCGTCACACTTCCAGTCACGTCGGTGTCTCGCTCGCTTCGGCCAAGGCTTCTTCAAATGAACATGTTCAACGTGCGCTCTGTGCTCGCCGGATGTTGTAAAACATTTTCCGCAAGTGTCACATTTGAAAGGCTTCAGTCCCGTGTGGATCTGGAAGAAGAAAAAGAATGAAATTGATTAACAGTTCCTCGATCCTCGATCGACGATGAAGGCTTAATTCGTGAGGGTTTTAACACTCGCTTTAGACCCTGGTACTGGTATTGGTAGAGGGCTCGCATTTAGACCCAAGAATTTAGTCCCTTATGCGGGTAGGAAAGATTGGCTAGGTGAGCCAACCAAGCTCCTTCCAGAAGCGCAGAAGGGCGTACACTTGCTTCTAGGAGCGATTTTGTACCAGGTGAGTGAGGTGGTTATTTAGTGTCCCTGTCTTGGTACTTCTCTAATTCCAGAATCCATCAAAAATACCGTGGGAGAGAAATACTTCAGCACCAATAGGCCCGTCAACCAGTGTGATACCACGGCATCTCGGATTGGAAATTTGTACTAGTGTATAGTATTCCACTAGTCAAGCCCCTTCATTTAATACCCATATTGAGAGAGTTGTGAAAAAATATATAATCTACCATCCGCGGCCATCTTGGACCGATTTTCATCAAACATAGCTAAGCATACATTCGCGACTAATTTTCCTTCAAACAAAAAAAAAACAAAATCAATATCGGTTCATCCGTTCGGGAGCTACGACGCCATAGAGAAACACACAGACACGTCAAACTTATAACACCCCGTCGTTTTGAGTCGGGGGGTTCAAAACTGACGCTCAGCAATTCTTTACTAACTTTTCACCGTGTGAATGAGGTTATCGGAACCCAAACCCCCTTCTCCCAGATTTTATGATGTACCCGATGGAAAGTGACTACCGCCGTTCAAGAATATTCACTCAAGAGTCAATAATGCGTAATAAATTCTCTAAATGTACCAGCTTTGCCTCCACCTGCGTGTTTGTCTATGTCTGTGTTTAAAAATTTGCCTATTTCCATCCTGACTTATTCAAGTATCTCTTTGCCAAATTGATTCAGCGATTTAGCCGTAAAAGCGTAACAGACAGACAGTTAAATTCGCATTTATCATATAGGGATTTAATAAACTGCACTTACAAACATATGCCGCCTTCGGTTGTTAAAGAAAGCGAAGTGCTTCCCACACAGCGGACACTCGTACGTGGGCCTGGAGGCGCTGTGTACCCTCATGTGGAACACCAGGTTTGTCTTCTGCGTGAAACTCTTCGTGCAACGGTCGCATTTGAAACGTTTCTCACCGGTGTGGACCCACATGTGGTCCTTGAGGAGCGCCATACTCTGAGGCATAATTAATAGATTTTTATACGTTTACCAAATATATTCGTAAAACCAACAAACAACAACAAGAAAAGGCTAAAAGATTATCTAAATTTCGTCCTTAATTTAAAATAAACAAGAATTTAATATATTATAAACTTTTATGTAACTGTATTAGATTAAATATCAGCAACAATTTCGTTTCGTGACTTCCATCGATTACCTGGAATATTTTTCCACACTGCTCGCACATGCACGGCGTCTTCATCGCCGGGTACTTGGTTCGATTCTTGTCTGGGTGAGCGCGTCTGAAGTGTTGTGCGTATAACCGAAGGTCCCGCAGTTGTATACCGCACTGAGAGGAGAAGACATTCAGGTTTATAGTAAGTCCTCTGTGGATATTATCTCCTCATCCACTTTCAGGTATAATTAGTTTTAATTACATGTATAATGGGTGTAGGTGTGAGAAGGAATACGGAGTGTTTTCCTATTCATCCCGATGGAGTCGTAAGCGCTAAGGTAGCAAACTACGCAGGACAACAGCACTGCAAAGAGAAGGAAAACTTGATACAAACCCTATACCAACCCGTCTGGCCAGCGTGGTATAGTAGGCCAAAACCTCCTTTCTAAGGAGAGGCCTATGTCTAGCAGTGGACTATTAAAAGCTGTTGATGATGATGGGTGGTGGTTGTTGTTGCGTGAGCGTCCAAACGGGCCGGGCCGGGGCGGTAATGACTGTACCTGTTCACAGTTGACCGGCGTGTTGGGTTCGTGCTGCGTCATCCTGTCCTGAGGGTCCCGCGGGTGTATGACGGGTCGCCGCTCTATTCTACGCACGACTCGCCCGTTCCGCTCCGTGTTCATACTCTGTGAGTCGTTGCGGATGCGGTTCCTGAAAAAGTTTTAATCCTTAATTAATTCTTTCCCAAAAAATTATATCTAACTATATTTTGCCCGCGGCTCCGCTCGCGTGTACACCGAGTATCGCGGTAAAATGTAGCCAATGTTACATGGTAATAATGTAGCTTTCTAATGATGATAGATTTTTAATAGTTTTAGTGGTTCAGGCGTGAAAGCGTAGCAAATAAACACACTCACTTTTCCATTTAAATACCTTACTGACAGTTATCACGGTAAGAAGGAGCCTATGTCCTTCCTCGAGAATCCAGCTGCAGCTTCATACGTATTTATCTAACTTCTACACCTCTTTTCATCCCCTTAAAGGATGATTTCCGGGATAAGTCCTTTTCCAGGACTCAAACTATCTTTATACCAAATTTCATCCAAATAGGTTCATCGGTTTAAGCGTGAAAGGGTAACAGACGCACAGACACACTTTCGCAATAATGATATTAGTATGGATATACCTTTGTATTCTGTCGACATAATTGCGACATAATTCTGTCAAAATAAAACGGTTTATACATTTAACAAGTTTAAAAAATTCATTTATCAAAGTGATTGCTCAATAAGCATGCCCAATGACAACAACTAGGTAACATTGGATCGGTCTGATTAATCAACCAACGCGGTTCTGATGCTGGGGTACTAAAGCAGCGATAGTATAAGGGCCAGGGTCTTTTGCTTTAGCTCTCACCCAATCAAGGTATACCTACATATTATTGCGCCATAGGATTGAGTGGTTCTTGTGTTGGGTCTGGCGGACAGCGCCATCTTGTATCAAGTGGGGCACAACGCTACGCATTGAGATTACGGTTCTTAATTTTTGCAGTGTCAACTAGTGTCCAATACCGGAAGATTATAGAAATTTGTAAATGCCTTAATGTATGTGGTTCTGTCTGGATCCATCGCATCTTCGGGATTAGTCTAGTGATTTCGACAGCAGTATAAAAGTGGAGTGTGTTGGCCGTACGGGACAGTATTGTTTTAAGACATAGCGAATTAAAATCGAAGTGAATTTCTAGTGCGACTAACGAGTTATATAGTGATTTTTTTTTGTAATAGTGAGTGTTTGTAAATACAGTGCAATAAAAGTAATTAACCGATGACTTTTATTTTATATATACCCTGCTCGTAACAGTAATAACACTTGAGCTCGAACGCACCTAGTGTCACGAATGGTAATCTGTAATACAGGTCTACCTAGTACAGATACCAGTCTCTCACACGGATTCAACTCACTTATAACTGTGAATTTAGTTTAAGATGTCAAGATATATAATCCTGTGTAAGAGAGAAATTAAAATTATTATGTTATGGATGCAAAACAAGGAGGAAGGGAGGGGGGGGGGGGGCTTCTACCCGCACGCATTGTCTTATGATCCTCCATTGTGTACTCCTATAACACGTTCGTAAGATCCCCCGTCCAGGTGAGGTGACCATGCTTTGCATACCCTAGCTCTATGGTTGATACTGGGCAGTTGCATTTACTCTAGCAGTAATCGGCTGGAGAACTTTATATCACGTCATGCGGCTGATTTTCGCTAGATGGCTCTGAAGTATGTTTTTGCTGAATGAGGATGACGTCACAATTGTCAGGACGGGTTTTACAAGAATACTTATCATGCCTTGGCCGGCTCGACCGGAACCACGGTCTCACAGAAAACCCAATTTCGTTGTTTTTCATCGAGTGAGGTTCGCCATCATCATCAACAGCCTTTAATAGTCCACTGCTGAATATAGGCCTCTCTTTAGAAAAGAGGTTTTGGCCTACTATACCACGCTGGCGAGACGGGTGGGTATAGGGTTTGTTTCAAGTTTTCCTTCTCTTTGCAATGCTGTTGTACTGAGTAGTTTGTTCCCTTAGTCGGCTTTTAAGCCACCCACGGGATGAATAGGGCTTGTGACACTGTATTCTTAATCTGTCACCACACGGACTAAAAACACTACTACTAGTGAGGTTACCGGAGCCAAATGCCCCTTTGCCCCTTATTCTTTAGGTGGGAGGGGGGACTCTTCCATTACAGGTGTCCATGGACGGCGGTAGTTACTTACTACCACCAGGTGACCCATCTGCTCGTTTATCTCCCTATGCCTTTAAAAAAACATACTGGCAATTTGAGCCCTACATTACGTCCCTGCCTACCCCCTTCGGGACTAAGGCGTGAGTGTGCGTGTGAATGTGCATTAATAATGAAACTTACGGATCATGATCGCTGCTGTGCCGCGACGACAACATCAGATGTCTGTCGTGAGCCTCCTCCGAGATGAACTTCACTTCGCATACCGTGCAGTATGGACCATCCAGGGTCACCTGCACAGACATACCTCCTTTAACTCTATACTAGACACACACATACCATAACTAACAATATATAGAATAAAATAATATCAAAATTACGAATCTATAAGGTGACGAAAATGAAAGGCAGTTGACGGGAAAAGAAAATTGGAACAAGAAGATGGAAGAAGCAGAAGAAAAGAAAAGAGCAAGCAGAAAGAGCAGGCAGAGTATTCCTCTACTTGAAAGAAAAAAAAACAAAAGATAGTAAAAACAAGAAGATAGAAGGATCTTCTTCTATAGAAAGAAGAAGAAGAGACAAGAACAAGAGGGAACATGAAGAGAAGTGACGAAAGAAGAAGCAAAGTATATCTCTACCTAAAAGAGGAAAGCCATAGGGGTAAAAAGTAGTAGAAAGAGGGAATAAGAGAGAAGAAGAGAAGGAAAAGATACTGTTCAGTCACTTCTATATTGATGAACGTTCTAGACGTCAGAGGGGACCACGTCAGAGTCATACGTCATATTAACATACACAAATAAGAAGTAAAACTCACAGACTTATCAACGAGCCGGTGTTTCTTCTTCTTGTGCACGTCGATGCCCTTCTTGCTGACGAACGTGTACCCGCACAGCTCGCACACGCAGTCCGACACGTGCTTGATGCGGATGTGGCCCATGTACGTGGTCAGCTTGCTGCACACGACACGTACACACAACTTATAATATCATCACACGTGTCATACTTTTGTATAGTAAACTTTGAGGGTTTATGTAAATCTTACAAAAACATCACTAATGGCAAACTTACAAAGTCTCAATAGTGGTAAACTCACAAAATCGCACTTGCGGAAGAATCAAGAGATCACCACTTGCGGTAAACTTACGTATTCACCACTTCTTGCAAACTTGCCAAGTCATCACGTCATCACATACAGCAAACTTGCAAATTAATCACTTGCGGCAAACTTACCAATTCATCACTTGGAGCAAACTTACAAAATCATCACTTGCGGCAAACTTAAAAAATCATTACGTCATCACATACAGCAAACTTACAAAAGCATCACTTGCGGCATACTTACAAATTCATCACTTGTGGCAAACTTACAAATTCATCACTTGCGGCAAACTTACAAATTCATCATTTGCGGCAAACTTACAAATTCATCACTTAGGGCCAACTTACAAATTCATCACTTGGGGCCAACTTACAAATTTACTACTTGGGGCAAACTTACAAATTCATCACTTGTCTCAAACTTACAAAATCATTACGTCATCACATACAGCAAACTTACAAAAGCATCACTTGCAGCAAACTTAAAAATTCATCACTTGTGGCAAACTTACAAATTCATCACTTCCGACAAACTTACAAATTCATCACTTGGGGCCAACTTACAAATTTACTACTTGGGGCAAACTTACAAATTCATCACTTGTCTCAAACTTACAAAATCATTACGTCATCACATACAGCAAACTTACAAAAGCATCACTTGCAGCAAACTTAAAAATTCATCACTTGTGGCAAACTTACAAATTCATCACTTCCGACAAACTTACAAATTCATCACTTGGGGCCAACTTACAAATTTACTACTTTCGGCAAACTTACAAATTCATCACTTGCGACAAACTTACAAATTCATCACTTGGGGCCAACTTACAAATTTATTACTTAGGGCAAACTTACAAATTCATCACTTGCGGCAAACTTAAAAATTCATCACTTGTGGCAAACTTTGAAATCATTTACACTCAATTTCCAATATCATCACTAGTGTGATAGTTTTAAATGATTATGCACGTGAAACAAACGCAGACTCAGTCAATGATAGTGCAATGTGTAAACACTTACTCAAACTCGCTGGCACAATGTGGACACTGGTACTTGGTGCCGGCGTGCCATTTCTCGTGTTCCCTCGCCACTCCCCTGGGAACACAATGTAATAATATGTTACTTAAATACTATTTTCTATCCAATGATAGAATTAGGTAACTTTAAAAATCAATGGTTTTTCCAAAAAAAAAACCAGTTATTCTTTTCTGACCTTTTACTAAGTCACAGATTTGTACTAAAATTAACGATTTTTTTTTATTTATTGAAATAAGAAAAACAATATAAAATAAAAACACGAAACACCCATAAACCCCGTATTGGTTTATCTTGGGTGTGTGTATTCATTTTTTTTATTACTCCCGATAAGAACAAGATTTTTTATAAAAATTCGCTGGTAGCACTACAAGAAAATCTTATCTCTTATCTATCTATATTTTTATTATTTTAAACTTCCTACTAAATATTTAAATGTTATTTAATGGCGAAATGTGTCCTGATCGCCATTATTTTATGTATTTAACATCTTTTGTACCACATTTTATGCAAATTAGCGTATTATTCTCCTTTTTCAGTTAATATACATATAAATTACATTTTTAAATATATTTATGTACAAAAAAACTTTTTTTTTAAATATTGTCCCAACGGTATCGGGTACGGGTACCCAGATACCAGTCGTTATTATTATAGAACCGCATATAATTTGGGTACGCAATAGTCCGAATAAGGTTTTTATTTTAATAAGTAACAACATGGCAGAAATAGGCTAGTTGATTTAATTTGAAAACTTGGTTAATTATATACTTTAATATCTATTTTATCCCAAAAAACCTATATTTTGAAGAAAAATCAATATTTACATTACGTATTTTGTATTAAAAAAAAACAATTTAAATTTCCCTTGAAAACGCTGAATAGTGTCATGGTGTCTTGAATGACGTCACAGTCTGCGAAACAAAACTGTTTACATCTGTGTCCAGTGTCAACTGACACTGTATTAAGATGAGAAAATATGCTAAAAAGGAAAAACAATAAGGAGTAACCTGCTCTGTTGTATGAAAACGTCAACAACAACAATGTTGTTCTGCGTGGCGTGACGTAACACTCTCTGATTGGTGTTCGCTGTCACGTGACTTAATGCCTATTTTGTTCGAAATTATTTTTTAAAAACATTAATAATGTTTAAATTTTATGAGAAATAGACTAGGTTTGTGTCTTCATTTATAATTTGAAAGTATAAACGAAGCAATTTGTTATCAGTGGACACAAGGCTATAGTGACACGGTGGCGAGTGGTGACGTACCGGTTCCTGGTGAGGAAGGGGCAGCCCTTGCAGCTGTACTGCTCCGTGTGCTGAGCCGTGAGGTGCTTGCGCAGCGCTCGGCTCGTCTTCAGCCGCGTCTTGCAGATGAAGCACTCGTACAACCCACTTTGCTGAAATATCGGACATCGTAGAGGATACAATGAATCAACATTATAGGTATTATAAAAGAAGATACAAACTAAAGAACATTTACTGTAAGTTTGAAAACGCTACTACCAAAAATAACGAAGTTATTTGAACGAAGTTCCTTATCGCGCGTTGTGAAAGGGGGCTAGACGGAAAAAATTCTCACGCAAAGTTGTAACGACACTTTTTATTTTGAACTGTTACTTGTCAGTCATTCAGCGCCATCTATCGAATAGATAGAAAATCATTACTTTTCATCTCAGTAAAATTAAAATTTATGTTCTTAGGTTGAGCAAAAAATATTGTATTGGACATCATTTTTCAAGGAGATTTTACCAATGTATCCATCAGCAGCCTTTAATAGTACACTGCTGGACATAAGCCTCTCCTTAGAAAGGAGGTTTTAGCCTACTATACTACGCTGGACAGACGGTTTTACCAATGTATAAATTATTTTAATTAGAAACCAACTGATAAATATGTAGGTAATAGCCGCTTTCATAGATGGCGTTGTAATTAAAATTGTGTCGAATCAGTTTTACTCGATCGTCACAACTTCGTTCCTATAGGGTGTCCCACGACACCACACGGCTTTTTTTACCCCTGTTTTGCGCCCTTAGGGTTGGAAATTTTAAAAATCCTTTCCAAGTGCACACTTACGTCACCTGAGGAATATTTGTGCAATATTTCATGCTTTTAGATCCAGCGGTTTCAGTCGCGCGTTGATCGATCAGTCAGTGAATCTATACCGTATAGGAGGCAGACGAGGAAACCAGTCACCTGATGTTAAGTGACTACCGCCGCCTATGGACACCTGCAACTCAAAAGACACTAAAACCGGCCTCTGGGTACCCTCAACCCCCCCCGGATCTCAATTTTTTTTTATAGACCCTGGATATCATGCAGCACCAAAAACCTCACAAAAGAAATGAGCCCAGATTCGATGGGATTATCTTCTTTAAGACATCTGCACTAGGAATGTATCCTGTGTCGCGGGAGAATTAACAAACATACATGAAACGGACAAAAATAACACCCAGACTATGTTGTCCCATGCAGGGATCGAACCCACAGCACCGCTTAAATCACTACGCCATCCGTGCAGTCTTTTGCTTAGTTCAGAAGTTCCTATGGCCGTCTTCGGGCTCCATCATCAGAACAGCTCCATGGTACCATATCATTGTATTGGCACTGAAGAAACACATTAACACCAAATTGGACATCGGGTGCTAATTTAGCTTACAAGATTAGTGCCGACACACATACATACAAACATTGCAAGTTAAATCATCATCATCAACAGCTTTTAATAGTCCACTGCTGGACATAGGCCTCTCTTTAGTAAGGAGGTTTTGGCCTACTATACCACGCTGGACAGACGGGTAGGTATAGGGTTTTCCTTCTCTTTGCAGTGCTGCCGCCTGCGTAGTCTGCTCCCTTAGTCGGTTCTTACGACTTATGTACTTAATAGTCTACTAGGCCTCTCCTTAACACGGAGGTTTTGGTTTACTATATCCCCATACGTATTCTTAATCCATCACCACAAGGAGTGTTACCACCCCTATTCATCCCGTGGGTGACATCAACCTGTCTGGGCAGGGTGGTATTGTAAGCTAAAACCTACTTTCTAAGTAGTGTCCGTGTGGTGACGGATTAAGAATACAGTGTGTCACCACCCCTATTCATCCCGTGGGTGTCGTAAGAGCCGACTAAGGGAGAAAACTACGCAGGACAACAACACTGCAGAGAGAAGGAAAACTTGAAACAAACCCTATACCAACCCGTCTGGCCAGCGTGGTAAAGTAGGCCAAAACCTCCTTTCTAAGGGGAGGCCTATGTCCAGCAGTGGACTATTAAAGGCTGTTGATGATGATGATGGCTCTAAGTCCAGCAGTGGACTATTAAAGACTGTTGATGATGATGACACTGAGTACGCTTACTCCATCACCATAAGTAAAAGTAAAAGCTTGTAATTATTACGTTTTCTCACCTCACTGTGCCTAATCGCGTGTGCAGTATATCTGTCTTTGATTTGAAACCCTCGGTAGCAGATGGTGCACTTGTAGGGCGCATTGGTGTAGGAGGTGCTGTCCTGCCGCTTGAGGACTTCCTCTATCTGTTGGTCGTAGGAGAGGGAGGTGATGGTGAACAGAGTCTCGTCCAACGCCTCAGTCTGACGGCGGCGTTTGACGTCGTTCTTTTTGTATCTGTAACAATTGGACCTGTTAATAATACTAATATAATAATATTCCACCACATTGTAAATATATACTTATTATATACATAGAAACACCCAGACCAAATCAAACATTAAATGTTCATGCAGACAAATGTTTGACTTGAGCGGGAATCGAACCCGCGACCTTTGAAATAGCAGTCCGTTATACAAACCACTACGCATTTCGGTCGTCAATCTAGTTCTTTAATCTATTCTTAGTTTGGTTGAACGCTCTTATCTCAGGAACTACTGGTTCGAATTGAAAGATTTTTTTAGCGTTATATAGTCCTTTTGTGCGCGAACGAAGTCCTACAAGTATATATATTTCATACATACATTGTAACAGTTCTTAATTATTATTGTTTTATTATGAGAACCTAACTTGATGTTTAATTTACGTTAAAATAAATTTTGTATACTAATAATAATTTAAAGCTAAAGTTTTTTTGTTGGTTGAAGAGCTAATCTCAGGAACTACTGGTTCGAATTGAAAAAATCTTTGAGTGTTGGATAGCCCATTTATCAAAGAAGGCTAGAGGCTATATAACCTCTCGCTACGACCAATAGGAGCCAAACATAAATGAAAAAACGGGAAATTATTTCTCATGAGAGACGCAAATAATAATAATATACCTCTCACACAGGGCCGTCTGATCCCAAACTAGGCAAAGCTTGTACTATGGTAACCAGACTGCTGATGCACATACTTATATATTTCTAAATACAGACACAGAAGTAATGATGAAGATGAAGAAACAACAATATGATGATTGAAATACCTGTCCGTAGTATTGTCTGGCGTGTCATCTTCCTCACACTTCTTAGGTTTAATCCTCTTGACCGGCTTCTCTTTCCTCTTCTTTATTTTCTCCTTCTCTTTATTCTTCTCCAGGCACACTTCGCTTAAAGTCTTATCATCATCATCATCGAAGTGATCAAACTCTTCGAAGAATATCTCGTTGCTGCTACCTGAGGATTTATTGCGTTTTTAATGGATTGCCATAAGAATGTTTTTCTATGACACTACTGTTTCAAATAAATATCTTATATTTAAGTATTTCATTTATATATAACCCCATATAAGTCCTCTTTTCCTCTCTTTACCAGAGATAAACTAACATCTTTTTCAACGGATTCCTTACATCCGTCTAAATTTGAATCCGGATATATGCGGCGAATATTTGTTGTAATATGACCAAAATTTATAAAAAACGATTTCATAAACCCTTAATACATCGATACTAATATTATAAATGCGAAAGTGTGTCTGTCTGTTACCTCTTCACGCTTAAACCGCAGAACCGATTTATATGAAATTTGGTACAGAGATTGTCCGAGACATAGGATAGTTTTTATCGCAGAAAACATTCTTTAAAGGGGTGAAAAGGGGCGTGGAAGTTTGTATGGGGAATCAATAACCGCTGACCCGATTTAGATGAAATTTGGTATGAAGATACTTTGATTCTTGAGGAAACACATAGGTTCACATCAACAGCCTTTAATAGTCCACTGCTGGACATAGGCCTCTCCTTAGAACACATAGGTTATTATATTATTTTTCAAGAGTGTAGTTAAATAATACAAATGTTGTACAAACCGACTTGATACCCAGTTGCACATACCTTCATCCTTGACTTCAACCTCAGTGATAGGCGCCAGGTCTTTAGCGTCCACCTCCAGGCCCTCGTCGTCGGGAGGCGCCTCCGGAGGGAGCTCTTCCTCCTTCACGAGGACATCCCGGATGTGCAGGTCGTAGTCACTGTTGTCGTAGATCTTCTGGATGAGAGGGGAGCTGAGACCGCTGTGAGAGCGGTTTATTGATTTTATGTCGCGAACTTTTATCTGAAATAGATATGAAATTACCGGCCCTGATGGACTGACTCATCGACTCAAAGTTACAAACTCGAAATTTTGGCAGTTTATGCTTTTTATATTGTAAGCACGCACTAACAAAGTATGTTTAGTAATTTCACCCCTAAAGGGGGTAGAATAAAGGATGAATGGTTGCATGCAAGTGTTATTTTCAAAGTTAGAGATAAGAAATAATCACACGAGCGAAGCCGCGGGCAATAACCACACTTCGGGCACAACTGGCCACGCTTCGGGCCCAAATGGCCAAGCTTCGGGCACAAATGGCCACGCTTCGGGTACATATTGCCAAGCTTCGGCCACAAATGGCCAGCTCGATCAGTGATACCACGGCCTAACAGAAAACCGATGTTAAGCATTTCTTCGTTGCTTTTCACCAAGTGAGGTTCTCTTTTTCTTCTCTCGGGGCTCAAATTGTGATACTAGAGTGGCAGGTGTCAATGATGGGCAGGGGTAGTCACTAACCATCAGGTCACCCGTCTCTTGCCCCACAACTAGCGTACATACACTCTAAATACATAACCCTCCTTCTACCGCAGATAGGCAAGCATTATTTGTCCCAAAGAGGATATTACTAGGTTTAAGCAGCTCTACTCACATAGGAGTCAGGTAGCAGCATGTCTTGCAGCAGCTGGAAGCTCCTCAAAGCTCTGGTCCTGAAGCGAATGGCGGACGTGAGCCGCGCCGCGCACTCCCAACAGACGCGCTGGGGCAGCCGTTCCTCACCGCATGTCTGTAATCATGATGATGATGATGATACCCACCAAGGACATATTGTGTGGAGCACGATCATTTGTTCTAAATTTGGGTATCATTTATCTAAAATACTGGCATTTGACCGGGGCGAAGCCCGCGTATGTGTCGGGTACCGTAGCCTATTTTTCTCGCTGATATTGTGGCTTTTCATTGGTAAAATAATTTTTTAAATTGGTTTAGTGGTCATTTACCAGTTATAAATATACTGGTAGGATGTTTAGGGCGTAGACTAATGAACACACGTACGTAAAGGTGAGAGCGTTTTAATGCGTAAATAACGAGCGTTCATTCAACGTCAGTGTCGGTTAGTTACTGTCGCCCTCGACCGAACGTTAGCGATGTGAGAACGGCTGGCCGGCGCCTGCGCATCGTGCGTCACAGCGTCCGTGTTGCGGTGGCAAGTAAGGGTCGTTCGATCTTCCCGCTACATACTAATTAATAGTACATTGACATGTAAAAAGTTGTTGTCATAAATAAAATGTCTAATATTTATAAAAATTAAAATATACGTTTAGTTTTATTTGATAAATAATTCTACACGTACACGTAATACTAGTTCTTTCCTGCGGCGCCGCCCGCGTGTATGTCGGGTATCGCGGTAAAAAGTAGCCTATCATACTAGCTGATAATTTAGCTTTCCAGCTTTCATTTTTTTTATCGGTTTATCGAAATGGTTGTCCGTGTAGTGACGGATTCAGAATACGGAATGTCACTACCCCAAGTCATCCCGTGGGTGTCGTAGAGCCGACTAAGGGCGCAAAACAACGCAGGACACCAGCACAAAGAAGGAAAACTTGTAACAAACCCTATAACAACCCGTCTGGCCAGCGTGGTAAAGTAGGCCAAAACCTCCTTTCTAAGGAGAGGCTTATGTCCAGCAGTGGACTATTATAGGCTGTTGATGTGATGTGATTAAAATGGTTTGTTTTAGGCGTGAAAGTGTAATGAACAAATTCACTTTCACATTTATAAGTATGGAATTGCAAAACTGAGGCATTCTCTGGCAGTTAAACATTGTGTGCTGCAGACAAAAGCTATAAAATAATTTAATTAGTTGTGTAATTTTATGCCTATGTATGAGTAATAAATAATTAAAAGAATTAGTAAAAATTATCATTAAAAGTGAGAATGTCTGACCACGGCCCAATTGTCGATGATAAGCGCAAAAATTAACATTACGCGATGCAGCAACGGTAGATTCTACGTAGTTCAGCCGATTTTGGGTAGATGGCGCTATTTTATATTTCAATATAATATATTTATCAACATACCAATAGCCCAGTGATCTGCTCATACATTTGATCCATCTTGTGGTCTCTAAAGTCGTACATCTTGACGTCTATGGCGAGACATATTCTGCACACCTGCACAAAATCAAATAAAGAAACTAACTAATAATAATTCTTTATTGACCAAAATCAGGAATATATCTATTCTTTTGTTTTAAAATTAAGTAGCACATGGCACTTTGAAGATAGAGTTAACGGCGATGCAAATAATACAAGTGACGATCATTTTACTTGATATATGTACTTGTATGCTGCCTTAGTGGTACACTTTATATGGATAGTCTTACCCTCAAAGCGGCCGGCGCATCTAGATCGTCCGCAGAATCCTGAAAAATAAATTTAATTTGTGTTTAACATTTATAATTTTCATCTTATCATCATCATCAACAACAGCCATTGATAGTCCACTGCTGGACATAGGAAGAAAAAAGGTTTATAAACTAGTTATACTTTTTTGATTGTGATACAATAAATAAATTGACTGCATTGATAGAGTAGTGGTTTAAGCAGTCGCCACGCCACTTTCTACTGCGCTGAGTGTTGCGAGTTTGATCCCCACAACACGTGTCGTGTTGTCTTTAAAAAAATTAAAATACTTTACTCATCACCTGTGCGACCACGGGTACAGCACCACCCTTAATCTTCCGCAGCCCTCTTTTGGTCTGATAAAAGTCTTCATTTCGAAAGTGTTCGGAACATATTGTACTTCTGTCTTTTGGCTCCCAGTCTGCCATACCCAGGGCTTCTACCCACGCTGTACGAAGGTTAGGCTCTTTCGGAAACCTGGAATAAACAGAATAAGTATTAATTAAAGAATTGGGTGTATAGGCATAATGCTAAATATTATACATACTTCTATACTTTTATTATAAATGTCAAAGTGAGTAATTTTTTTTTTTGCTACCTTTTCACACTTAAACCACTAATCCGATTTTAAAAATTCTTTTACCAATGGAACCAACTCCCGCATTAGGAATATATCCTGTGTCGCGGGGGACTTTACAAACATACATGAAACAGACACAAAGAACACCCAGACTCAGAACAACAATTTATGGATAACACAAAGTGTCATCCCATGTCGAACTCACAACACTCAGCGTAGTAGGAAGCGGCGTGGCGACCGCTTAAACCACTACGCCATCCGTGCAGTCGAATCTGTAGATTGGGACTTAATCTTAGAAGAACTTATCAATAATGAATGTTCCTACATCACATTCAAAACAATATTTAGTAAAGAGTAATGAACAATCTAATTTATTGCAACTAATATATCAGTAACTATAAATTCTATCTCTAATAATAACATTATTAAAAACCCCCCAACACCAAAAAAACTTTGAAAAACAACACCTGCTCATTGAGACTGTTCTAATAAGCCCAAACATGGTTTATGTGCTGTAATTTTCTGAGGAGCCGCAGACTACTTGATGCAGCAGCAAGTTCCAGGTTACCATGTCATAATAATACCATCAGGCACAGTAGCTTTGATGCCACAGACAGAGACAGATACACAGGTTAAACTTATAACACCCCTTGTTTTCCGTCAGTGGTTAAAATATAATGTTTCATGATTTAGGTGGTTTTCAGTTGGCTATCCCACTTGTAAAGCTAATTATTTGGTACTTGTGACTTCTTTTTGTACGGGCTGGTAGTTCTCTCTTATATTTATGTTGTTATTTTGAATGTATAATTTTAATAAAATATTATTAACATTTTAATTATCACCTCATATTTTTTTGCAATTTCCCTTCACCACATTATACATAGTAGTAAACTTCGATAGTAACACATAAATATTATAAGGTAGTTGCAACAATTTAAATTATGAATTTCTGTATAGTCTTGTAGAAAACTAAAAATATAACGTCCCATTACATGTTACGTATTTTATTGATTGAAATGCTTTTACAAAGTTGTCGCTTCTTTCATATTAAACACACTTAGGAAGCAAAAAACTTTAATTTTATTTTCTAGTATTATACCTATTATAATTTTAGAGATTTGTATTAGCCAATAAAAAGCCGGCTGTCTCAGACCATAACAAAAAACAAAGAGATATTGTTGGCTGGAAGATACAACCAGAATAGATGAGTACTCGGTAAAATACGGATTTCCTATACTACTTACATGTGAAATGTAATCCCATGACTTTTGGTGGTTCTCTTCGTGTCATTGGTACAAGTCTGAACACTGCACCTCATCCTTATTAGATTAAATTATGATTAAAAGTTAAATATTTAAAAAATAAACAGTCTAATAAGCAGCCTTTTCCGCGCTTAAATTTAAAATATTTAAATACATGATCGGTTTAAAAGTGTCATTGTGATGCTAGATAAGTTTAAAAACTAAGTTTTATTTTAAAAGACATTCTTTACTTCATATTTGATAATATTTTTGTATTTTCGTGAAATATACAACTGTCAATCATACATGAAGCGTCCTCCATGTTTGTCATTTTCTTTAGAGAAAGGAATTCCAATAGATATAGCTCGAAGTCTTTTAAGCGTTTGATCCTAATGGTGAAATGCTTCCTACATTGAAATTACCAGCAAATGTTAATCTTGCAGTTTTTCAAAGAATTAATTCTTAATCAGGTGAAACTTAAAAAATATTTTTGATTAAACATCGTGGTGATTGTATTCTATTACTATCCCTATCGCCATTCCCATTAAAAGAGTTCAAGCAAAAGAACCAACTAAACGGTAACCGTAGACAAAGTTAACAAAGCCTATTAAACGAAATAGGTTAGTAGTTTTATATTTAGCTTCAATACAGCTAGACTAACCATTGTTTCTTCTTTTCTACTGTCGATTTGTCCATACAAAGGTTGCCTGTAAGAGATTGCTATTAGTAATAAGACCGCACATTGTACATATCCATCTGTAATATTTAACCAACTTACTGTAATTGGTGTACAATAAAGCATATTCTATTTTATTCTAATTTTGAGATCGTTTCATTATTAACTTACTCATCGAAGCAGCCATGCGAAGTACTTGAGTCTCCAATCCAATCCAATCTCCCTGCCTACCTACCCAAGCTTCAAGGTCAGGTGGAACCACAGAATACAGTAATATTATTAGAGGGGCAGAACGGCACAGACAGCGTGCCAGCGCGCATTATGTGACTGTTCCAGCAGCGCTCGCCACTTCACCAGTGCCTGTAAATGAGGCCGGTGCCGGCCTCAAAATTGTGTATGTGGATCATGCGAGTCTGGTCAGGTCCATATCCGTCAGGATATCAAAAGGCTGGAAACGTGTCAGGACTGCTGCCGCCTTCGATGAAATGGTGCGGTATCCGTATCCTCGTACGATACGAATAACCGTTACCCGCTGCCCTCGGGCCATATCGGCGCTCCGTAAAGGACCATTGATCTATCAAAGTGCGGTGTACCTAGATTAGGTAAGTAGGCCCTCTGTATAGAGCCCGCCAGTGTCACCACCCCTATTTAACCCATGGACATCGTAAGACCCGACTCAGGGGGTAAACTACGCAGGACAAACGTACTGCAACGAGAACGAAAACTTGAAACAAACCCTATAAAACCCTGCCTGGCCAGCGTGGTGTATTAGGCCAAAACCTTTCTAAGGAGAGACCTACGTCCAGCAGTGAACTAATAGGCGTTTGTGGAATAATAGGTATTATATCTCTCCAACACAATGGTTCTTACGGTCAGGAAGATCGCAACAGGACGTCCAAAGTACGACAGAAGAAATGAAAAAAATTTACGTATTCAAATAAATAAGTAAAAAATAATGCTTTATCAAAATTGAATTTATTTTCGATGACATTCATAAATACAGAAGTCATGGGCATTGGCCCAGAAGAAGAAAAAAAGGCAACATATACCAGTATAATAATATTTTCGGTCACTGAAACACAACGCCATCTAGTTTCAAACTCAGCAGAGCTTGTACTATAAAACCTAGATTGACTGATGGAATACTGATATACATTTTTGTAAATATATATATTATGCATATAAAACATCCAAACGCCGAAACAAATATTTGCATATCAAACAAACATTTGGTCCGACCCGGGCATCGAACCCGATAGCTCAGCACAGCAGTCGCGTATGCTACCATTGCACCACCGAAGCAGTCGTAGTATATGTTTTGACTTGTGTTGTGTACAAAATTATATACAGAGACAATTTAAGTTCAATGAAATAAAACTTATTTACACAGTTTACGTATTGTTAAATCGTGTCTTAGCTGGGCTACGGTCAAATAAAACTTCGTTTATAAAATACTCGACACGTAATTTAATGTATTGAGTAATAGCCCGTAAATAACAACTGTAGGCGCAGGCGCAGCTTGTTAGAAGCCGAGTGCCGGCGGCGATCCTCATTCGCGATGTCCCTCGTCGCGCCCTCTCCCGGACCGACCCGGCTGTGCGCGTAGACACGTATTTTAACAAAAACAAAGATTATTACAAATATTTTTATTTAGTTTTATTTATAATTATTTGCAGTTTCTTTTCGGTGATTACGACTCGTCGTCGCCCGCCTGCTTTTTCCCCCGCCTGGGTCTGGTGCGCTTGGGCCAGGGTTTTTTCTGATGAACATGTTCGACGTGAATCTTGTGCTCGCCCAGTGTGGTCGAACACTTACCGCAAGTCTCACATTTGAAAGGCTTCAGACCTGTGTGGAGCTGTAACAATCAGATGTGTTTTTTTTTATAATAATAATAATATAATATATAATATAATAATAATAATAAGGATTTTGTCACTATAAGTGGAATGTGGATTTGGTAGTCATTGTTCCGATAGTCGTATCTGCTCACGGGTTGATAACCAAGAGCCTCCACCAACATCTAAAAGACTCACTTTAGACGGCTCGATCAAGGGTCTGATGCAGAAGGCAGTTCTCCTCGATATGGCCCGTATTACTGAGTAGGTTCTTCTCATTGGGGCCCTAACCACCGATGTCGTGGTCCCTGTACCCGATGTCTGCGGTCTACACTGTTTTATATTTTTAAAATATGTTTTTTTTTTGCTTTGTTATTGCCGTATCCATGTGTTGACGGATTATGAATACAGAGTGTCACCAACCCTATTCATCCCGTGGGTGTCGTAAGAGCCGACTAAGGGAGCAAACTACGCAGGACAACAGCACTGCAAAGAGAAGCAAAACTTGACACAAACATTATATCAACCCGTCTGGCCAGAGTGGTATAGTAGGCTAAGCCTCCTAATTAAAAACCTAAACCTAAAACCTAATTGAACTGCAGTCCACGAGGCTTCGGGTTCAATTCCCGGACCGGAAACAAATTATAGGGTTTTTCCAAGAGCAAAAAATAACCTAAGTTAGTCCTTATATAGATGGTCCAGCCATTTTGAAGATTACCACTAACAAACAGACAGACAAAAAATATTTAAATTGCTTTTTTGGAGTAAGTATCGTGCAAATAACTGTCTGCGCATAAAAAAAAACTGGAAAAGAAAGTTACAATGTTTGTCTGTTTATTACCTTGTCACGCCTAAAGAGCTGAACGGCTCTTAATATAACTTTGCAATGAGATGATATCATATCCTGGGGCGGGTTATGCGCTATATTTTATCTCAAAAAATAAACTGGAAACTGGGTTAAAAAAAGGGGTAAAAGTCTTGTCAAATAAAAATTCCACTCACAAACATATGTCTTTTGCGGTTGTTCACATTTGAGAAGTGTTTCCCACAGAGTGGACACTCGTACGTGGGCTTCTTAGCGCTGTGGAGCCTGAGGTGGTCCACCAGGTACGCCTTCTGGGTGAAGCTCTTCATGCAGCAGTCACACTTGTAGCGCTTCTCGCCTGTGTGGACCCACATGTGGGCTTCTAGGAGCGACATCATCTGTGGGAATGGACAAACAGTTAGTTAAAGGCCAGTTGTTTAGCGAATAAATGTGTAACCTACTTTTAAAAAGGAGACTGCTGATAAACATTCACCTTCTGACACCAAATTGTTACGAGCGGGGTATATAATCTATACAAATAAATAAAATTGGAGTGTCTGTTTGTAATAATAAAATAACGCTTTTTACTAAATGCATATGTATGTTTACACGGTACATATGCCAAAATAACATTTTTTTCAATTTTTGTCTGTCTGTCTGTTTGTTCCGGGTAATCTCTGGAACGGCTGGACCGATTTCGACGGGACTTTCACTGGCAGATAGCAGATGACATAAGGTGTAACTTAGGCTACTTTTTTTAGACTAGCTTCGCCCCGCGGCGTTGCCCGCGGTTATAACAAAAAACGCGAGAAACATTGCGGGTCTCAGCTAGTAAATAATAAAATTGTCGGTTAATTACTTTATTGCACTGTATTTACAAACACTCACTATAATAAACTAGAAATCACTATATATCTCGTTGTCTGTGTCTTCCATTTGATTTGGGCATGTGGTAGGTGAGATGACACATTAGTCAGATTGTGGCGGTGACGGGGGGTACTCAAAGAGCAGTGTGGATAATTTCAAATACAGTGAAACACAGAAACATACTACAGCGCCATCTAACGAAGACACACCGAACTACGGAGTAACTGCTAATCCTCTATCGCGATATAAATAATTCTGACGCCTAATATCAATCGTTGGGAAGAAGCCCGCCAGGCATGATCACCTCACCTGGTCAGAGGATCCTCCCTTTGTGTTGAAGGGACGTGACATCCTCCACAGGCAGTAACGCACTTGTGTCATTCGATTTGCAAGTGCCTATAGGCGAAGGTATTCAGATGACCCTTTAATTCTTGAGACTCATTGGCGGCTTCAGTTCCAGGTGGCCATGAGAAGTCTGTTCGTTTGGCCTTATGATGTTAAAAACCCAAAAATATTTGCGTACCCGGAATATCTTGCCACATAGCTCACACATACAGGGCGTTCTCTTGGAAGGGAACTTGGTTCGATTTTTGTCCGGATGGGCTCGTCTGAAGTGTTGCGCGTACGACCGGAGATCCGGCAGTAGTAGCTCGCACTGGAAACAATATTATAATAACATAACACATACTGTATACACACTTGCGCCATCTGAAGGGGCTCGTGGCTAAGTAGTACCAGGCAGTAGTAGTAAGCAAAGTTAAGCGATCATAACCAGGTCATTATATGGATGGGTGACCATTCTTAACACGTGGATACCCCTTCGTGCCTCGGAGAGCACGTTAAGCCGTCGGTTCCACCCGACAACAATCTATCTACAGAACTTCGATATCGTCTAGTACTTGGGTTGCGGCAGTCGCTCCAACCCAGATTGGAAAAAAGGCTCGAGGGGATCGAAAGGGATAAGGAACTGCACTCTCCAGCGGAAATGAAACGAACTAAAAAAATATTGTATCGATTAGTTATACAACAGAGCTCACGCCACGAACATGAGCTGAAATTGTATGAACCTTCCTGCACCCACCTGCTACTAAATAGGGCGTTGCCAGTCCCCTCCCTGAAGGTGGGGGGGGGAGGGGGGTAGGAGTTTTTAGCCTACTGTACTCACTCAGTAAGATTTAACGAAAGTTTGATTAGTATTAGTTGATTAGTAATATAATAGTTATAACAAGTAACATTTCACAGACGGGTGGTTGGATACATGGCACATTGACATGTTAAGTCAATTCTGACAGGTGGAAAAGATTGACATATTGAAAAATGTTGCCTTGTTTATGTGTTTATTAAAAATTACTTGATTTTTATTTTTCTTTGTGTATGTTGTTATATAACTTTTGTTTTATTTTTGTATGCTGTGCTTTATGAAATAAATAATATTCTATTCTAAACAATTAAAAGCTGTAACGAATGAACCAAGCCGTATGTCAGTTGTCATTTATTATTAGGTATTTGTATTCCGTGTGGTGATGGATTAAGAATACAGTGTGTGCCGACTAAGGGAAAAAACTACGCAGAACAACAGCACTGCAGAGAGAAAAACTTGACACAAACCCTATACCAACCCGTCTGGCCAGCGTGGTAGATTATCCCAAAACCTAGTGGTCTATTAAAGGCTGTTGATGTGATGATTTGTATAACAGATCTGTTACATTATAACAGTTATTTATACAATCCATCAGCAACATAAATATAATTAACATCGGAAAACTTTTCTAACGCGATTCAGGATCTATCACTAGTCGCTATGTAGTTTGGCTTAACATTACTAGATGGAGCTGAAGTAAATTTTTAACTATTGTACGTTCCATATAAATGAATTAACAAATAACCTGTTCGCAGTTGATGGGTTCGTTGAGTTGTACCACGTCCTGTGGACTGAGCCGGTGGATGACGGGGCGCCGCTCTATCCGACTCTTCATCCGACCCTTGGGTTTCCTGTTCATACTCTGGAAGCAGTTCCTGATACGATTCCTGACAACATTTCATTTTTTTTTTGTCTTTTTCATTCAAGACAACTCCCACACTAGGAATACATCCCGTGTCGCGGGGGACTTTACTATCATCATTTAAAGGTCTACTAGCAACCAAATTTACTATTATTGCCGTTAACCCCTCCCGCTAAGCTAAATTGCTTGTGTTAGGAGTGGGTTCACGTCGGTAGTGTACTGGTCAGGATTCGAACCCACGACCTAATGATCGCAAGTCCAACGCCTTAACCACTGGGCTACCACCGCTTCAACATTCATCCACCATCATCGCCAGCCTTTAATAGTCCACTGATGAACATAGGCCTCTCATTAGAAAGGAAGTGTTGGTGAAGACTGGTTAGTATAGGGTTTGTGTCAAGTTTGCTCTCTTAGTCGGCTCTTACTTCACCCACGAGATGAATAGGGGTGGTGATGCTTCGTATGCTTAAACCATCACCGCACGGACCAGACTCAGAACAACAATTTGTGGATCACACAAAATGTAGTCCCATGTGGGGATCAAACCCACAACACTCAACGAAGTAGCCATTTACACCACGTGCAGGCAGGATTTATCGTACAACTTTACTTGTAACTAACTGTGAGTAGGAAATCTTCTTATGGAAGGCTAACTTCACGCTATAACCGTTAGGGGGGCAGTAGTGACCATTAAAACACATGAAGCTGGGGGAAACTCACGGATCATGATCGCTGCTGTGTCTCGATGACAACATCAGATGTCTGTCGAAGGCGTCCTCTGAAATAAACTTGACTTCACACACGTCGCAGTATGGACCCTCCAGGGGCATCTGCATGATAACAAATAGAAGAAAATATAATAAAAATAATAATATTTATATTTTTTAATATTCGAAGAAGTATTGGGAATGGATGATTTGTTTATGGTTCCAAATTCGTTTTTTTTTTTTTTTGTTGTTATTAGATTGGCACAACTGTTTTCAATTTTGGCGCGCAGTTTGAGTTGCATCTGTTATTTATATTAAATGCAGTGCTGTTTTTAGTTATATCATATCTAGTGTGTATTGCGAATTTAATAATGGACAAAAACATCCTCACACAAAAATAATTTCTCAATTCGAACCAGTACTTTCTGAGATTAGAATTCTTCTAAAATAGAATCGGGTGTATAGGCCTATCTATACAAATAAATAAAATTGGAGTGTCTGTTTGTAATATTAAAATAACCGCTTTTTACTAAATGCATATGTATGTTTACACGGTACATATGCCAAAATAACATTTTTTACTATTTTTGTCTGTCTGTCTGTCTGTTTGTTCCGGGTAATCTCTGGAACGGCTGGACCGATTTCGACGGGACTTTCACTGTCAGATAGCTGATGACATAAGGAGTAACTTGGGCTACTTTTTTTAGACTAGCTTCGCCCCGCGGCGTTGCCAGCGGTTATAACAACAAACGCGGGTAACACCGCGGGTCTCGGCTAGTCGCTAAATATTATTCACACTTCCAGTTTTTGTTTGTTAGTTTGTTACGCTTTCACGCCTAAACAGCTAAACCGATTACAAAAAATCTTTCAACATAGGCTACTTTTAACCACGATAACTGATTAACCGGGTGGAAGACCTAGTATTATTATGGGAACAACTTACAGATGCATCGAGTACGTGTTTCTTCTGTTTGTGCACGTCGATGCCCTTCTTGCTGACGAACGTGTACCCGCACAGCTCGCACACGCAGTCCGACACGTGCTTGATGCGGATGTGACCCAGGTAGGTGGACCGCTTGCTGTCCGCGACACGTGTTAAGTTATTAACCCATCTCAAATACGAACAATAATAATAATATAATATATTCTACCACATACACACAACGCCATCTAGTCCCAAACTAAGCAGAGCTTGTACTATGGGTACTAGACAACTGATATAAATACATATATACTTTTTTTTTGTAAATACATACATATTATACATAGAAACACCTAGACCAAATCAAACATCAAATGTTCATGCTCATAAATGTTTGACTTGAGCGGGAATTGAACCTGCGACCTTTGGAATAGCAGTCCGTTACACAAACCACTACGCCATCCAGACGTCAAAATCAATTAAAATAAGAAAATAATTAAAATTAATTAATTCAACACAATTCTTTATTAAAAGACTATTTCCTGTGGGGCTCATGGCTAAGTGGTAACCGAGTAGCACATTGTAAAGTTAAGCAATCGTATCTAAGTTAGTCTAAGCCGCCGTAAGCTTGGCCCTCCTGATGGTTTGCGGGACGCGGGGCGGGTGATGCGCTCGGCTATACATGACACGATGTACTAACTCGATATCTTCAGATTTATTTGTTTGGGATTTAATCTACACACGATGTAATAAAAATCGAATTTATTTCCATGTATTATAATGTCAGTGTACTGTAAGTTTTTATGATTAATTGTAAAATAATTTTAATAAAATCACCTTATCTTCATCATGTAAATTATATTCAGATACAATTTAAAAATTAAGTAAAATCTATACTATAATATTATAAAGCTGAAGAGTTTGATTGTTTGTTTGTTTGTTTGAACGCGCTAATCTCAGGAACTACTGGTCCGATTTGAAAAATTCTTTCAGTGTTAGATAGCCCATTTATCGAGGAAGGCTATAGGCTATATATCATCACGCTAAGACCAATAGGAGCGGAGCACCAATGAAGAATGTTTCAAAAACGGAGAAAATTTATTACTATTGAGAGACGCAGACGAAGTTGCGCGGGTCAGCTAGTTGTAAATATTCTTTATTAACTTTAACAGTATAACCTCTGTAAGCCGAACTTTAAGTTTTTAAATCTTTTTGTGACGAAGAATCGGCAGATTATCCATGTTGCAAAATAATACCGTGTGTAGCAGTCTTAAGAAAAATAGCACGTACAGCCATGCTTTCACGTCAGTCACTGCCGGCGGACAGGGACGCACTAGCTAATTGGTTGAATGCACCTCCGCCCCGCGTCCCCCAAACCATCAGGAGGGCCAAGCTTACGGCGGTTTAACTATAGTACTTGTTTTGTGGAGGTCTGATGGTAGTCGCTCCACGTAAAAAGTCAAAGTTCAGCAGTATCGTGGTAAAGGGAAAACCAACCTTAACCTAGATTGGGAAAAGACTCGGAGGAATACAACAAAATAACTCCCGCACTAGGAATGTATCCTGTGTTGCGGGAGACAAAGAACATCCGGACTCGGAATAACAATTTGTGGATCACACAAAGTGATTTCCTAAATGGGGATCGAACCCACAGAACTCAAAGCAACAGGAACCGTCGAGGTGGCCGCTTAAAACGCTGCGCCGTCCGTGCAGTCATTTAAATTCGTTTGCCTTTTTTACGTTCCCTCAGAAATCCGCCATTTATGGACCGATTTCAGTTTTTTTTTATTATTGTCCAAATTGACTGATTTAGTCCTATACAAATTTGAGGGAAAAATTAAATGAAATAAATAAAAATAATAGTTAAAAAAAACTAAAAAACACGCTTTTTATAGAAAACCAAACTAAAAAATAGAAAATAAATATTAATAAATTTGAAAAAAAAAAAGCGTTGGGTGCATTTCGTCAACAGTAAAAAGAACCCTACGCTTTTAAACTACTTTTTTTTTTTTTTTTTTTTAAATTTGTGTATTGTCACCGGTCCTCGATATATCTACAAAGTTTGAACTAATTCTGACCGTTTAAAGTCAGTCAAAATCACGCCCAAAGGAGTCGGTTACAAACAAACATACAAGTGAAGCTAATAAAAAGCGTGTCAAAAGATAGAAGCTATTTGTGATGTGAAACATCTAATGCGGAAAGTCAGACGGCTTGTTGGTGTGGCGACGCGTCGCCTATGTGATGGTATATTTAACACATATTGGCGTTTTGCGACGCGTCGCCATGCGCAAGTGATCTTTCGATGTTTCACAACTGAGGGGGTAAGCTCTATTATTGAAGGTTTGGAGGTCGTATCGGTCCATAAATAACGCGGGCGACAATGTATTCCATAGATTCACCATTATCATCAACAGCCTTTTATAGTCCACTAGCTGACCCGCGCAGCTTCGTCTGCGTCTCAATAGTAATAAATTTTCTCCGTTTTTGAAACATTCTTCATTGGTGCTCCGCTCCTATTGGTCTTAGCGTGATGATATATAGCCTATAGCCTTCCTCGATAAATGGGCTATCTAACACTGAAAGAATTTTTCAAATCGGACCAGTAGTTCCTGAGATTAGCGCGTTCAAACAAACAAACAAACAAACAAACTCTTCAGCTTTATAATATTAGTATAGATTGCTGAACATACTCCTCTCCTTAGAAAGGAGGTTTTGGCCTACTATACCATGCTGGTCAGACGGGTTGGTACAGGGTTAGTATCAAGTTTTCCTTCTCTTTGCAGTGATGTTGTCCTTTGCTCCCTTAGTCGACTTCTTACGCCACCCACGGGATGAAATAGTGACACTCCGTTTTCTTAATCCGTCACCGCACGAATCCAAAGATTACAAACAAACAATTGCAAAAACTTACTCGAACTCCTCGTCACAATGTGGACATCTGTACGTGGTGCCGGCGTGCCACTTCTCATGTTCTTTTGCTACTCCCCTGCTAACACATTTTACAATCTAGTAATCTATCTACAATACATTTTTAGTAAGATATTCAAGTTAAGGTTTTCAGCGAGTGATTGAAGTTCTCCTCTCCTGATTCTGGTCGCGACGGTACTATGGGCGATGGTGGTCACTTACTGTCAGGTGACCCGTCTGCTCGTTTGTTCTACGCCATAAGGAAAAAATCAGGCTATAGTTTATTTCACAGACTCTGTCCCCGTTCCTACTCGATCGATACGTCACTATTTTCTTAACGCGAACGGACTATACAAAGGCAAGTTACGACACTCGGTCGCGATAGTTTAGATTAGAATACAAGAACTAAAGACCTGTTCTTGGTGAGGAAGGTGCAGCCGTTGCAGCTGTACAGCTTGGTGTGGCGCGCCGTGAGGTGGTGGCGCAGCGCGCGCTGGGTCTTCAGACGCGACTTGCACACGAAGCATTCGTACGAACCACATTTCTATAATAATAAGTTATTATTATATATATTTATTTATATTATATATTATATATAGTTATTATTAATAACCTCACACATCACACACACGAACGTCTGATGCTAAACTAGGCAGAGCCTGTACTATGGTAACCAGCCTGCTGATAAACATACTTATATATTTCTAAATACATACATATCTATATCTATAAAAGAAGAAACTGATAGACTGAGTTACTGACTGATCGCTAATCCTAATGTTCCTTAGGTGTGCATTTAAAAAATAACTTTTAAAAATTCCACCTCTAAGGGTGTAAAATGGGGGTTGTAAATTTTTATAAAACTTCATCACTTTCGGTAGTAAAGTCTCTAACTCAGGGTAAATATTCTTATTAAAAGTAATAAAAAACTTTGTTATTATTTTTTCAAAACTACCCTTAAAAAGGGATGCAAGTTTGTATGGAGAACCTACAAGCTTGAGTCATTGTATCCTCTACGATGACTGATTTCGACATCGTAAAGGACGAGGTCGCGAGCAAAAGCTAGTCATGGATAAACTGCACCCAGACATAGAACAAATGATCGTGAATCATCATCATCAACAGCCTTTAACAGTCCACTGCTGGACATAGGTCTCTCCTTAGAAAGGAGGTTTTGGCCTACTATACCACGCTGGCCAGACGGGTTGGTATAAGGTTTGTGTCAAGTTTTCCTTCTCTTTGCTAGTATGCTTCCTTAGTCGACTCTTACGACACCCACGGAATGAATAGGGGTGGTGACACTCTGCATTCTTAATCCGTCACCACACGGAGATGTGAATATCATTAAATAATTTGTTTTTGAAGTGAAAACTTCTATAGACGCGTTTGGCATTTTGGAACAACAAACAAAAGAATGTAATTTTTGAGATGGGATAAAAACCATTGAACTTGCGACACTGTTACCGTTACCAACACCTCTGTATATAAGTACCTACATATATTGGCCTGGTTAACACGAGTTGAGTTTGGGTTAAAATACATTGATAATATAACTACAGTAGAACATATACCTATATATATTCATTTTGGAATTTTCGAATCGAAAAAAAAGGTGTTATAATCAAAACTCTTTAAATATTCAAGTCTTCACTTCTGTCGGCACTCCCGGAGTGTCTGTTTCTTTTTGTTCGACAGGAGGTTTATTTCAAAATAGTCCCATTTAAATTTCATAATATATAGATCTAATGATGTGTTTCGGAGACAGACAAGGGAACTCTTCAAAAAATGACAGCAAATCAAACCGCGATTGCTGCTAGGTTTTTAGTGCTCTGTGTTAGTATTGTTTGAAGTCGGTTTCAACTTTTTTTTTTAAAGGATTTTCTTGTATTTAAGCTTTAGAGGACGTGATTTTTAAGTAAATTTTGCTACACATAATTGTAACATATCGTCGTACCTCGCTATGTCGAAGTACGTGGGCCTCATAGCTGTTCTTGTCTTCGTAGCCGCGGTAGCAGACGGTGCACTTGTAGGGCGCCTTGAGGTAGGCGGCGCTGTGCTGTCTCTCTCGCACCTCCTCCATCTGCTGCTCGTACGAGAGGGACGTCACCGTGAACAGCGACTGGTCCAGATCGGCAGCGAGCCGTTTAACGTTGTTCTTTTTGTACCTGGAACATGGCACACTTGTCTCAAAACAGAGATTCCGTAACACAAATAGTTCGGCTCGACTGGAGTGATAGCACAGCCTTGCAGTAAATCGGTATTCAGCAAATATTTCGCTACTTTTACCAATAAATTACAACAAACTAACATTTATTTTGGGGGGGGAGGGGGGAGGTAAAAAGTTTGGCAAACACTTATGACTCTTAAGTTACCAGTATCCATGGGCGCGGTAGTCACTTACCATCAGTTGACGTGTTTGCTCGTTGGCCCCCCTATCCTTCAGGGCCTTATTTAAGTTAAAGTCTGGAATGTTATCTAAGAGTGTATAAATCAGACACCGAGATTCAACGCGACCGAAGCTATTTACAGCATTACTACTTTATACTGCATTTTTTTTTCTTTTTTTTTAAAGACAACTCCCGCACTAGGAATACATCCTGTGTCGCGGGGGACTTTACAAACATACATGAAACGAACACAAAGAACACCCAGACTCATAACAACAACTTGTGGATCATACAAAAAGTGTCGTCCCGGTTTGGGTTTGAACCCACAACACTCGGCGTAATTAAAACTATAATATCTTCTATTGCATGGTGTAACACACCTCTCTGTGATGTTCTGTAAGACCTCGTCATATTCATTCTCTCGCTTTCTCTTTACATCCTCATTCCCCTCGCTATCCTCGTCGTCCTCTTCGCTCAGCTCCTTGTCGTTCTCCTCGTCAGAAGGTTCCAGCTTCTCGATAAATATCTCCTCAGTGCTATCTACAAAATTATATAATTATTAGCTGTACCCACGCCTTACTGTGACACAATTCGCATTGGTAAGAAATGGGAAACAAAACTGACGTGAAAAACATAATCTTTGAAGTGGTTTGTATATCGTGTTAAAATTTAAGCTCAATTGGTTCAGAACTTTTGGAGTTTTTGATGCACACACATACCAACTTAACATTTTTAGGGTTTCGTACCCAAAGGCTAAAACGGGACCCTATTACTAAGACTCCGCTTTCCGTCCGTCCATCTGTCTGTCCATCTCTCACCAGGCTGTATCTCATGAACAATGATGTAATTCTGTTGCCGGTATAACAACAAATAATAAAAACAGAAAAAAATAATTAAGTGGGGCTCCCATACAACAGACATGATTTTTTGCCATTTTTATAGATAATGGTATGGAACCCTTCGTACGCGAGTCCGACTCTCACTTGGCCGGTTTTCTTATATATATACTAGCTGACCCGCGCAACTTTGTCTGTCCCTCAAAAAAAGAACATTCAGTAGTGGACCGAATTGTGAATCTAAACCATTCTCGAATCCACTTAAACACATAAAAAAATTATCAATATCGGTCCAGCCGTTTAGGAGCAGTACACACGCACAGAAGAATTATTTATATATATATATATATATAAAGACAAGATATAAAATAGAAGGCAATAGTTTAAAACTTAATACCATTACATTTGGTATTGTACTGGGTGAGGCCCACTCGCATTTGTTAGCAAACTAAATTATTGTAACTAAAGTTTATAATTGTGATACATGAATGTATACTCACTAAATGGTGAATTTAGGGGGCGTCCATTAATTACGTGAGGCGTTCAGAGAGGGGGCGAGCCGAATTACATCTAATCTTACTTTGGGGTTATCCGCAATAAAGTAAAACCTGTTCCTCTATGGGAGTATGGCCAAATCTCATACAATAATATTTATCATGGCAGCGAATGCCGTTATTTCATACAGCTGTATGAAATAACGGTTTATGACGTCATAAACCGTCATTTCATACAGCAATTCTACAGAACGTACCCTTTTTAACATTACACAAAGACCATGCTTTGACAGTCAACTACCGTATCACAAACCTTCATTTTTGACCTCAACCTCGGAGCCTTCTTCGAAATCCTTCGCCTCGTCCTCCAGGCCTTCACTGTGCTCAACGTCCTCGTCTTTCACGAAGATATCCCGGATGTGCAGGTCATAGTCGCTGTTCTCGAACACCTTCTGAATTAATGGTGACTTGAAGCTATTATGGGAGTAGCTCAGTGTCATTATATCACGGATGGTTATCTGGAAGGGATGGGTTTGATATTATTAAAGTGGCAAACTAATATAATCAATTACTCATGTTCGAACTACATTTTGACTTAGTATATTCTGATTTGCCGGCAATACGTTAACAGCACGGATGGCGCAGTGGTTTAAGCGGTCGCCACGCCGCTTCCTACTGCACCGAGTGCTGTGGGTTCAAACCCGACACACGGAGGACACTTTGTGTGATCCACAAATTGTTGTTTTAAGTCTGGGTGTTCTTTGTGTCCGTTTCATGTATGTTTGTAAAGTCCCCCGCGACACAGGATTTATTCCTAATGCGAGAGTTGTCTTTTTAAATAAGAAAAAGAACAATACGTGAGTTAAAACAATGGTGACAAATAATAAAATCTAACGAAAACACACCAAACTACGGAGTAGTTACTAATCCTATATCGCGATACGAAAAGGCCGTTCCTCAGACAGACCTATAGCTCACATTCACCACTCCATCCGTGAGTAGTATCCCTTTCCTACCACCTGTCTATATTTTATGATCATGATCATCAACAGTCTCTAACACCACTGCTGGCCTCTCCTTAAAAAGGAGGGTCTAGCCTACTATACCACGCTGGCCAGACGGGTTGGCATAGGATATGTTTCAAGCTATCCTTCTGCTGTTGTCCTGCGTAGTTTGCTCCCTTAGTCGGCTCTTACGACACCCACTAGATGAATAGGTATTTTTAATCCGTCACCTTTTTTTTACCGTCACCATTTTATGTTATATGGTGCAAACATGCATGGATGGTGTAGTGGTTTAAGCGGTCGCCACGGAGTTGTCTTTTAAAAACAAAGATGGTACGGACGGAGTGACAACACAGCTTCACAGAAAACCAGTGTTAAGCAATTCTTTCATTGGTTTTTACCAAGGGAGTAAAGTTACAGGAGCCCAAACCCTCCTCCCCTAGATTCTGGGGGGTGAACTCAAGGGGCGACAGCGCACTCGTGAATCTAAAGTTGGTCAGATGATACATTTGCTAGTTCGCCATCTATGTCATAAGAAACAGCCACATACCACATAATTATCCCGCAGCAGCATTTCTTGCAACAGTTCCAGGCTCCTGGTAGCTCTGTTCTTGAAACGGATGGCGGAGGAGAGCCGAGCCGCGCACTCATAGCACACACGCTGTGGCAGTCGCTCTTCTCCTATTACCTGTCAAATAATAAAATATCTGAGACAACTCAGATTCAATCTTCATCAACAGCCTTTAACAATGAACTTCTAGACATAGGCCTCTCCTTAGAAAGAAGGTTTTGGAACTATACCACGCAGGCTAGACGGGTTGGTCATTTTCAAAGTTAGGAACCGGAAATAAAAAAAATAAAAGATTAGACGGAAATAACAAGCCGTGAGCACATCACATCAACAGCCTTTAATAGTCCACTGCTGGACATAGGTCTCTCTTCAGAAAGGAGGTTTTGGCATACTATACCACGCTGGCCAGACGGGTTGATATAGGGTTTGTGTCAAGTTTTCCTCCTCTTTGCAGTGCTGTTGTCCTGCGTAGTTTGCTCAATTAGTCGGCTCTTACGACACCCACGGGATGAATAGGGGTGGTGACGTTCCGTTTTCTTAATCCGTCAATACACGGATACAGTTCGAAGCCGTGAGCAATGTATAATAATGTGATAATCTCTCACCAATATTCCTGTGATCTGTTCATACATGTCATCGAGGTCGTAATCTCCCAAGTCGTACATCTTAACGTCTATGGCGAGGCATATCCGACAGACCTGCAGAAAATCAGTAGTTTATGACTAAATTAGCAAAAGGTATTTAGCAAAACGATTCAACTAATCTACAATCTGGTCAATTTAACATGGACAAATAGGTCTCTAAAAATATTTATGTTCAAAATATGACTGTTTTTTAGGTTTCCGTACCTCAAAGGTAAAAAAGGAACCCTTATAAGATCACTTTCATGTCCGTCTGTCTGTCTGTCCGTGTGTCACCACCGATTTTCAGCAAGTTGAAAGTTATACAAGATACTGAGGTTTATGGTCCCTATTAGGTGTATAAAAATCAAGGTCATGAGTCAACACGATAAAAAAGATATGTGCAAATTTCGATTTTCGCGAAAACTTGGAAAAAAAATTTTCGCGAAAATTGACGTAAAATCTGGGTAGGTTTTTTTTTATATCGCTGAACATAACTCAATCATATATAGATATAATTATCTATATATGATTGAGTATATATACACATCATGATGATGATGATATATACAAAATATATGTTTATGTTTTATTTAGTTATATTTTCAATGTATTTCAACACAAACTCAACTCATTCAAAAATACATTATTTTGTTTGTTGTTCAAAAAATGCCCAACATGCCTAAAGAAGTTTTCACTTCAAAAATAAACGTCTGCATTCATAACCTCCTCCTTTTTGAAGTCAGTTAAAAACAGGTATTTTTAGTAAGTTTAGAATTATTGTTAAACAGATTTTTGATATCTTAGTATTAATATTTACCCATTTGTGGATTGTATTATTTCTGCACAATTCAATCTAAATTAGAACTATATAATAGGTCTACCCTGGTCACTCACCCTGAAAGCAGCAGGCTCATCAAGCTCATCTGTGCAATCCTAAAAAGAAAAATACCGTTAAGCTGCATATTTATTCTATGTATAATATATATATCTTGTTAACTGTGTGGTGACGGATTAAGAATGCGGAATTTCACCACCCTTATTCATCCCGCGGTTGTTGTAAGAGACGACTAATGGAGCAAACTATGCAGAATAACAGCAATGCAAAGAGAAGGAAAACTTGAAACCAACCCTATACCAAGCTGTCTGGCCGGCGTGGTATAGTAGGCCAAAACCTCCTTTCTAAGGAGAGGCCTATGTCCAGCAGTGGTATAGGCTCTTGATGTGATGATAATTTAGTTCTAGATTTCTTAGATCAAGATAATTTAATTCTATTAGTCAATCTAGCTTTCATAGTACAAGCTCTGCTCAGTTTAAAACTAGACTGCGTTGTGTGTCAGATGACCGAAACTCTTATTTTTGGAACGAAGTGCTTTATCTGCTTGCCACGCTCTGAGCCGATGGGAGCGAGACCGAAAACTGTATAACAAGACTTTTTGTAGACACTCTAACAAACACAAAACAAACTCTACAAACATCTACCAATAAGCAAGAGGAACTTCGTTCCGGCCGGAGGTCCATAGACCCCTCACTCTGTTTTTTATTATGGTAAAGGGGGCAATGAGCAGAGGGGTTGTGTGATGGTATGTAGCTGCCCATCAAGACCTGCAACATAATAGTCACAACGTGACGGCTTAAACCACTACACCATCAGTGCAGCCTTGTGTAAACTTTAAATTCTTTTAATAAATGTTGGAAGAGAATTAATATCATTTGTGGGTAATTTCTTAAATAGACATGGTTTTCTTTTAACTCAGAAAGTTCTCTATAGCTCTTTTATTTGAGTCTTGGTTATTTGTCACAAATTTAGTAAAAATATTAATATTCCATTGAGCAGTAAAAGAAAAAAACCTTCGCTCATTCTTAAAATCTGTGCAAATAAGTGTCTGTTTGTAATGTCAAAATTATTGGCTTCTGTCATGCTCACATGGTTATTTGCACAATACCTTTACCTAAAATCCAGTTTAAATATTTTTTGTCTATATGGCTGTATGACTTTTTGTTATCTCAGGTAATCTTCAAAACAGCTATACCGATTTTGATTAAATTTTACTACCAGGTAGCTATCTATATGAGGAGTAACTTAGGCTATTTTTCCTCTAGAAAACCCTAGATAAAATTTCCCCAGTCAGGGAATCAAAACCCGAGGCCTCGTAGACTGCAGTTGCACCATTCTGCACCATTAAGGCAGTGCTTTTCAAATTTCATACAAACAAAGTTGCAGGTACCAGCTATTACAATATAAAATTTAAGTTAGTACTTTATACTAAATCAGTCAAACCTTTGCCACCATTGGAACAGCACCACTCTTAATCTTCCGCAAGCCAGTCTTGGTCTCATAGAAGTCCTCGTCACGAAAGTGCTCTGAACAGATTGTACTCCTGTCTTTTGGCTCCCAGTCTGTCATTCCCAAGGCTTTAACCCACATTGTACGAAGATTTGGTTCTTTTGGGAACCTGGAACAGCATGAAAATGGGATGGTTACTATGTCAGGTTCTACTGTGTTGTCTACCCTGAAGTAAAATAGAATAGAATATTATTTATTGTATAGTATATAAGTAGTATATTTATTGTTTTTTTCTAGTTCAGACTGCATAAAGAAACCTTTATCCATGCAGACTAGCCTTTTTTAAAATCAAGATCATGAATATCTGTGCGTGAATAGCCAAGCTAATGTCATTTAAAACTTTGATAAATAAGCATGATATAAATCGATCGATATTAGAAATAAAGTAAACAATAGTTATAAAAGTTGCTTAAAAGTTATTTTGGAGCGGTAAAATTTTATTAGCGGCGATTAGCCTTATTTTTAATCATTTACAATGTTTTTTTACCTTCATCGTATCTTAGAACACAACAATAACCGGCTGTATCATTTTTAAAAAAAAGTAAATAAATAACAGTATACGATGACTTACAAGTGAAATGTAATTCCGTGACATTTGGTCGTCGTCTTGGTGTCATTGATACAATGAAGAACGCTGCACCTCATCTTTAATGCCTTTTCTGTTCAAATTAGGACAATTACAAATAAAATAAACAGTCATAAATTCATTTTTCGTAGTGCAATTTAAAGTCTAAACGATCAAGTACATTAGTTGAAAGTCGTAACACATTTATAAGCTCTTTGGTCCACGTTCTAAACCCAAAGATTAGAAGTGTCAGATGTATGCAATAGAAAAGAGTTAACCTAACATAATAACATCATAGAAATAAAATGAAACAGCAAATAACCTAAAATAACCTTATCGCTTATCGATTTTTTTACATAGGAAATGAAAAAAAATTGATTTTTTTGGAAATACATATGTGGTTGGCATAAAGTTGTGTAATATGTAAGAAATAGTCGAAAAAAAAAAATGTTGTCAAACCACTCATGACATTTATCTGTTATTACAGATTTTAGACAATGTTACTTATTGTATCTACCTAATTACAACTGAAGGTATTATTTCATCTAAGGCATTGTATTATACTTCTTATAGGTTAATCTTCATATTATGAGAATAAATGTTTATACAAATTATATTTGTTTTGCTTCCGTCAGTCTATCATCTATCATCGTTACCAGGGACACAGCAAAGAACGTATTATAGGTTTAAAGAAAAAGAGTGGGTCTTACAATAGCTGCATTGATAATTTAGCTGTTGAAGCCAGCCTGAAATTTTATTTTTAATTTCATGTCTTCACCTACAATACATATTTCCCTGTTAATGTGGTTATCAAGTTTACAACTAATACTAACAGATTGACGTCTAGCGAAGGAGGTTCTGCAATAGACCCTAGGACATACCGACATAGATCTTCGTCTGTTTGGGTTTGGAGGGGGTACATTTCGGTGCTTTCTCAGAATAGATAAGTACAAAGAGCTGTCGTACTGTCAGGACGTTGCAGTTTAATTACGGTAAATGTTTTAAGGTTGGGTACCTGTAGGGTTTTTTAGTCATGACCTTTAGAACTGCTCTATGTGCTCTCTCCAGACTGCTCTCTCTCTTCTCTTCCCTAAAACCCCAAAAGCCGTGTAGACGAGTTTCATCTTGTCTATTGTAGCGGAATCTCTCAGAGTTTTAAAGATATGTATGAGACGTCACAATCGCGTTGTCTCCGTAGTAATATGTTTGATCGATTTCAGACCAGAGTCTATGCAAACACCAAGTGATTTTACACTTGCTGCTCTTGTAAGTAGTTGGCATGTACAGTCTTCCTTAGCGAGGCATGTGTGTGCTTTAATATTGAAGTTGTAAGGAGAGGCGTTTGTTTTGCTCATTTTAAATGGGACATAGACCGTTTTAGTCAAGTTTAGTGTAAGGAGGTTACCAGTGAGCCAATTCATAATCAGGGCTAGGGAATTTTTTTGCACGGCCCGCCAGTCAGACCCCCAAATAAAACACACATCGCACACACTTATTAGTCAAACTAATAAGAGCACGCTTCCCCGGCTCAGTGTTACACACCTTCGTCTCTTTTTACTATATCTATCCCACATATTGTAGGGAAGATGTTACACATCAATAAATAAATAATCATCAATAAAAAATAAGTAAATTCAAGTATGAATGACAATGGACATGAGATACCATCCACCATTATGTAGTATTTGGCTGCAGGTAAACGGTAAAACGGTATCTAGCCTAAATATCTATCTCTTGTAAGTCTTGTCTCAAATATTTACTAATCAGACCGGACTGCATACCATCAGTAATATTGGCGTACCTCTTTTGCTACTGCTGCCCAGCTATGGGTTTGCGTTTTAGAAATGTCATTACTTCCGTGAAAGAAAGAGAACAAACGTTTATTGTATTTATGTTTATATATCTACTTATTTACAACACAATAGTTTTCAAACCTTACTCATTTCAGTAGTTATAGTACATCTCATCTAAGAAGTACCGTTTGACAGTTCTGACAAATTGAAGTATAGCGATGGGGTCAAAGAAATCAATGACTAAAATATCTGAACCTTAAGAGATTTCGACATCATTTCTTAGTATGAACCAATATGTAATATGTTACTATAAAAGCCCCTGTAATGGCACATCGTAGGTTTTATTAGTAAATCTTACTATACACGACACTTAGACGCGAGCGATTTTTGCCTACAAAGATTCATCTAAAATTACATTAACTTACATACTTTTAAAGTATGATAAATCCAAAATCAAAATCGATCTAAGTGGCGTGCAATGGGAGAGGCCTATGTCCAGCAGTGGACTGTGATAGGCTGATGATGATGATGACATACTTTTAGTTTGAATTATGCGTTTTCGTTAAGATTTGAATGCCAGATGAACTTTAAGTATAATTAAACACTTTACGTTTTCAGTCCAGGCGTCTTAAAGTGTTTCATCATCATCATCTTAAAGAGTTTCATGATGATGATGATGAAACACTTTAAGACGCCTGGATTGAAAATTACTCGGTATTAATAAAATCGACTTTTAGTACATTTTAACTATTAAATCTTACATTATTGTATTTGTAACTACAAGAAAACGCTCTCTAACTACTTTAACCGAGTTCTTATATTATTGCCTTGTCTATATAATATAAAAGTGGTTCCACGTTATAAAAGGTAACAGTATTCAAGTGAATTTGAAAGCCGCAATACTACGGTAAAGGACCTAACTACGGGACTTTGAAATTACAAATGGTTATTTGGCTTTGTTTCAAAGATTTAAATTTAAATTTAGTCGATAAGAATTGTATACCTTGTGACAAAATAAAAAGAGCTACATAACTCCATGGTTTTACGGAAAGAGTTATTGAAATTGTGTGAGTTACGCATATACAAAGTTGTTTCGTCTTGAAAAGTATTAAACGTCAAACAGTACCTCTTAGATTAGATGGACTATCGGATCTTTGACAGTTTGATTTTTTTGTCTCTTTCATTCATAGCGTGATTTTGAAAAGCTAAAGCAGGATAGGTAATAAAAAGCCTTTTAACTGCATCCTATACAACTTTAGACAAATCAAATAAGCACAGCACCAAACAGGACGACAAGTGACAGAAGTCTTCAAAGAATTTTCGTTTATATTTTTAAATTAGTATTGATACTAATAAGATGCGATAATCAATTTTTGAATGACAACTTATAGAAAAAATACATCACACAAACATTGCTTTAAATCACCTTATATATTGACAGGTCCACGAATAAAAAATGTAGTGTACTGTTAGTGTTCTTCTAATTTCTGTGTTTATTCATACAACAAAATGAGGTGCTGCGTTCCTTACTGCAAGAATGATTCAAGACATATCTCTAAATCTCAGGGGATTACGTTTCATGTGTAAGTTTCTACATGATATTTCGAAAAAGCTCTACAGTATCTGTAGGCATCGTCTATATTGACTATATTATTATCCTACAAAAAAATCTATTGCCGGCAGAAATATAAATAAGATTAACTAGTTATACGATGTTTTCATAAAAAAAATATTGTCTCATGACTTAAATTATGTCGGAAGGTAGTGTTTTCAAGGCAAATTTTGTAATAGTGATATTTAGAAACAAACATCTCCCAAATACAACAATTTCCAAATCGATTCTTAAATGATGGAGTTCTGAGGTGGCAATCATAGAAAAAAATCAGCCCAATTGAAAACCTTGATTTTTATTAGAAATAGTTAAAAATAGATTAAGTTAAAAATAGTTATCATTCACTCTAGACTTCAGAGACTCGAACCAGTAAGAAACTGTCATAGATCTTCCTCCTCCAAGCCTTTATCCAAAACTAGGAAGGGGTTGACGTTAACTTTCCCATGTAATGGCTGAACTCAGACTCCACAACTCAAGTAGTAGACAATATCAAAGTTCTGTAGAAAGACTGTTGTCGGAACTCTTAGAACTCTCGACTATCCTGTCATATATATCTTATCGTTTTTCAGTTTCCCAAATGAGCCATCATTACGTACAGCCTGGTTGAAGGCGCTGGCTAAAGAAGACTGGGAACCCAGAGAACGTAGTGCGGTTTGTTCTGAGCACTTTCTCTGTGAGGATTTGTATGAGACCAAGAGTGGGCTGAGGAAAGTGCGAGTTGGAGCCGTGCCACTAATACTGCAGGTACAGTTTTTTTATTAATGCACCAATATCTGAAAATACTACTCTGATTTATTTATTTCAAACTAAATGCACTTTTGTACATCACTATCACTATCAACAGCCTTATTAGTCCACTGCTGGACATAGGCCTCTCCTTAGGAGGTTTTGGCCTACTATACCATGATGACCAGACGGGTTAGTATAGGGGTGGTGTAAATATCAAATAAGGTAGGTATTATGATATGTAATCAATATAAATATACACAGTTCACTATATACATAAAGAACAATGGCAGAAACATATTTACCTAAAACTTAAGCGTTTAAAAAATCGAGTCACAGTAAACTTAATCAAAAAATTTTCTATGATTTATCATTACACCACCATGTGTTGTATAAGTCTTATAAGAGATAAGATATTTTTGAAGATTTTATTTGACCTAAGTACGTAATGTCAGATTCGCCATCACGTATAACTGACTAGGGATGCGTGGTGGCAATATTATATTTTGGAACAATTAATCGATAATCGATTCTTATAGCTTTGGCTGAAATATTTACCGAAGGTTCACTATTATGATTATGAATTTGCTTCTGCCCACGTCTTCACTCGTATACTCGTACGGTAGAGTGACTGAATCAACATAATTAGAAATGATTTAAAATATTTTTGACTCTCTTTAAACGATTTTAAACACACTAAAGAAATAGAATATAGTTACGTTATTTTCCACTACACAGTGTGATGAGAAAAATACATTGTCATTGATAACGGCACATAAATAGACATACATCGATATTTTCAAAATGTCGATACGTCGTCGTTTAGTACATATCTCTTAATCTGTGGTTTAGATCCTGTCAAGTTCCGGACTCACCACGTCTGTTATTTTATTTTTGTTTAATTTAGTGTTAAACTCGAATAGATGTTATGCTTTTATTTTTTTTATTTCATATACTGTAATAATAATGAAAATAATATTTTCGGCTATCTGACACACAACGCCATCTAGTTTCAAACAAAACATTAACAATATGTTAGTACTTAACCTCGAAACATTCAAAATCCAATATCTTTTTTCCTAGACTTCTTTCGCAAGTAATTTAGATATGAAAATGGTCAAGAATAAATTCTCAAGTGTTAAGGATTTTTTGATATTTAAACGCTAACATTTCAGTTCAAATAAAATTATGTATGGGGACCTGCCATTGTCCTTTATACATACACATATACACAGTTACAACACATACAATCATAAATACACGTATATAAAAATATAGATATTATATTTGTACACTATGCATACTGGAATATAAGGTGTACTATGGACTGGTTCTGTTTTAAGAAATTCTATTAAGAAAGAGATCATGCACCTTCTTTTTGAATAGAAAATGGTTAGTGGACATCCTGATTTAAATAAAAACTTTTTTTCTGTCTCCGTTTGTTGCAGGATTCAGTAAATATGTGTGACTATGGAGAGCCTGCTAGTTTGAAGGTAGTATAATGTTTTAAGCTAAAAAACTGACTGACTACTGTACTATGTCAACTTCAATGACCACCAAATGGCGTAGTGGTTTGTAAAACGGACTGCTATTCCAAAGGTCGCGGGTTCGATTCCCGCTCAAGTCAAACATTTGTGTGCATGAACATTTAATGTTTGATTTGGTCTGGGTGTTTCTATGTATAATAATGTATTTACAAAAAAAAATCTAGATATGTATTTATATCACTTGTCTAGTACCCATAATACAAGCTCTGCTTACTTTGGGACTAGATGGCGTTGTGTGAATGTGGAAAAAAAAAAAAACAACTTAAAAAAAAAACGTTTTTTTACCCGACCGCGACAGACTAATGGTTATGTTCGCTCACGGTTTTGCCCGTTCTGTAGCCTAAATAGCTTGATTGATTTTGGCATGTGAGGTGTCATTAGGTTCCTCTTAATTGTGAGTGTGACACTGGGCTAATGAAAATTATAAAAATTAAATTAGATGTTTTGTAAATTTTAAGGATTACCTTTTCAGGCAGTTAGGTTTTTTGTTTAAGTTTGTAAATAATTAGTTTGTTTTATCTTCCTTACCTCGAGAACTCTATTTAAACTTAATAGATATTTTTTTTGTTTGGGATTGTAGGTATATTTACTGTTTTGCCCATATATCCAAATGTGTCTAATTACAACTTAAATTAATATGGAAATGCATATGTGCATGAATGCTAAAAATAAAACACTTCTTTTTAGGGAAGTTGTGTAAAATACAGGTACATAGAATAAATTTAAGTATCCAATGACAGAGTCTTTAAAGGTTTTTTAATTTAAATTCAGTTTAATTAAAATACTATTTTTTAATTTGTAAAAAATGGTTTTCCTAATCCAGGTTTGCAGAATTTGCTTAGCAATGGACTCAAAGTTATTCCCTATCACAATTTACAAGTTGGAACAAGCGTATGAACATTTAACTGGAATATCGGTAAGTTTTAACTAAGTGTGTCACAAATTTAAACTTGTCACCGTTAGGATTGGTTACTCGGACACTTCTTATGATCCAGTCTGTACAAGTTACCTCATAGACCTCAATGACTTTCATAGACCCACCCCCAAAGACCCTCATAGACCCCCAATGACCCTCATAGACCCCAATGACCCTCATAGACCCCCAATGACCCTCATAGACCCCCAATGACCCTCATAGACCTCAATGACCTTCATAGACCCCCAAAGACCCTCATAGACCTCAAAGGATCCCTTCAATGACCGTCATAGACCTCAAATGATCCTATACATCGGGTGAACAAATTTGTTTGCTGTGTTTTCACTGCAGCAGCCAGATGGCTTCAATCCTCCTGCTTTCTTGAAACTTCAGTATTTTTTTAAGCTGCAAGCCGAGGACCGCCTACCGCAGAAGCTGTGCGTGGAGTGCGCGCAGAGGCTGTTGAACTGCAGTCGCTTTAGGTATAGAACATTGCGAGCCAATTCCCTCATGATGGAGATAGTGAAGAAACAGCATAACGTGAGTATCGTCAGCTCCATCTAGCGACTTGTTTTACGAAAAGATAACTGTTTTTTTTTTATATTTATAAATTGCTAACTTTTCCTCTCGGATTTGCTCGTGTGAATGCAATTTTCTTTTAAAATAAACACAAAAGCAGTTTAAACCCCTAAACATTGGTAGCGGGTTCAACATCCACTATATATTTATAAGAATGACTTGTCAGCACTGTACACTAATAAAACTTCATCACTGATTGTAACAGAATTCATTAATTTAAAAAAATGTTTTGTACATAAAGAAAGGTGTGAATAATTTAATAGCGCGATTCAGAAAAGTGGCCCAACGCCATATAAAAAAGTATTTAAGAGTTGTTTCACATCATTATAACGGCTTAATTACTATCTAAATATAATATAAAAATTTACAACAAAGTATATATAAGACTAGACTTTGTATTTGCACTTAGACATGGCTCTTCCAATGAAATACAGTACAAGCTATGCTTATTTTGAAATCTCCATAACACTATGTAATGTATTTTGTATGGGTCACCTGATGGTGGTTGACTACCGCCGCCCATGGACATCTGCAACTCAAGTCACAATTGCATTGCCACCCTTTCAATTCCTCCTCCAGAATCAGAGGGAGGGGGGAGGGGGGTTATAGGCTTTTTTCCTCAGTAACTTGAAGAACAGCAAGAACTGCTTAACACCGGTTTTTTAATTTTAATTTAATTTATTAAAATCTCTTTTCAGCTTACTATCCACAATATTAAAACAATTAATCGGGAAAACAACCATCTTAAATCACCACTGTCACCAAAACATTTTACCCCAGACCATTGCGATAGTTATTTCGAAGAAAACTTAGAAAATTCACCTGTTTTACAAGATGAAGGTGAAGAAAAAGATCCAACCCCACCAGAAAACGTGGACGTAGAAATAAAACAAGAGAACGATATATTTATGACTGAAGAAGACGTCGGGAAACAAGAGAATGAGACGGGAGAAGAAATTGAAAAGAACAGCGGCAATGACAGTGCAGATGATTTCGACAGAGATTTTGTTATAGCAACCGATCAAAATTATTCATCAGATGATAGTTTACCATTACAGAAGTGCAAAGCCAAGAAGTTAAAAAAGAAAAAAGAAGTTAAAGTTAAGAAGCCGATGAAGCGAGTGAAGAAAGTGAAAGAGCCAGCTGAACCGAAGATTGATCGGCGGAGAAAACCGTTTTTGAATGATGATTTGAATGAGACTCTTTTCACTATTACTGATTTGAGTTTTGACGAACAAATAGCTGAAATAGTGAAGAGACAGGAGAGTTCTAATTATAAGAATGCTGTGTTTAAGTGTACGGCGTGCTTTAAAGGGTTCCTGGACGAAGACGCATATAACAGTCATGTAATTAGGCATACTAATGTAAGTATGATTTAATTTACCAAAATTCATCAAGTTTTAACATTTAACTGACAAAAAACAGAATTTTGTGAATTCTGAAACTTTTTTTATGGCATAGGAGACAAACGAGCAGAATGGTCATCTGATGGTAAGTGATTACCGTCGCCCAAAACCAGGAGGGTGAAGTCGAAAGTAGCATAGTGAACTGTCGCAACGTCTCTGCTGCAATTACTTTATAAGTAATATTTAATTGTTTAAGCCAGTAAATGTGCCTAACCTAGTGGCCTCTTAAAACCCAGGCCAGACACACGGGAACTTGATAACGGGGTCTTCGACCTTTTCGCTCTGCGGTCTTCCTACCACAATTTTCCGTCTACCGATTAAATCCTGAAAAGTGTTGGTGTCAGACACGTAAGCTGGCCATAAAAGAAACTAGCTAAAACTCTTTGCAACGCCAAAACAATAAAGTGGCAGAAAAATTATGATGAATTAATCCCTCCGATTAATATTTCTACTTCTTTGTATTTATTTATAACTTTATGCACTTTTGTACATCGGCGGACTCAATGCCCAAGGCATTCTCTGCCAGTCAACCTTGTCAACACACATGTGTATATATATACATAAATATATACACTAGCTGACCCGGCAAACGTTGTATTGCAAAACAAAAAATTTTAGGGATGGGTCACCCTTACCATTTATCGGTATGAAAAATAGATGTTGGCCGATTCTCAGACCTACCCGATGTGCACACAAAATTTCATGAGAATCGGTCAAGCCGTTTCGGAGGAGTACGGGAACGAACATTGTGACACGAGAATTTTATATACAAGATATACCGTGTAGTGACGCATTAAGAATACGGAATGTCACTACCCCAAATCATCCCGTTGGTGTCGTAAGAGCCGACTAAGGGCGCAAAAACAACGCAGGACACCAGCACTGCAAAAAGAAGGAAAACTTGACACAAACCCTATACCAACCCGTCTGGCCAGCGTGGTATGGTAGGCTAAAACCTCCTTTTTAAGTCTGATATGTGATTCTCTGTTGATGTGATATATACATACACATTCTTCTCTTAACTCATCCTGTTTGTTGTTTTCAGCAATCCGGTGAGCATGAGTGCGAAATTTGCAAAACTCACTTCAAACACCCGCACGCTCTGAGGAAGCACATCACGGCGCACCACACGCAACGGTTCAGCTGTAAGCAGTGCACCTACGTCACCACGCACAGGCAGACGGCTAGGCTACACGAGAGGTGCGTACCGTTCTCTTTCTCTCTTACACATGGACTGTATTGTGCAGAAATGGGGCACGAAGGAACTAAGGCCTTTTTTTTTTTTTTACGTGTGAAAATCCCCTAGGACCGTCACCCCGCCGGGGCTCTCGTTCGGCGGGGCGGTATGTCGGACTCGAACCGACTAAAACCACACGGTGTGCCCTCTTTGCGCTGCCAGTTTAGGAGGGGTCCAGGTAGTTATCGCCTTCTGGACCCTCCCAGCGCCGGCCCGCTCCTGGCGCGGGCTCCGTCTCAAGGACCTCTCTTTAGGCGGCGTCCGGCACACGCGGACGCCGCCCCCTCGCGGCTGGCCAACTAATGCGGGTGGAGGGAAGAACCCATCCCGTCCACCCGCGGCCACACTCAGGGCGGCATGAGGCGCAGGTAAGCGCGCCTCCGCCGCCCGGTTCGCCGGCGGCGGATCTGGTCCGAGTGGAGGTCGTCCTCACGGGCCTTCTCCGCCGCCTCCTTCTGCGAGATTACCTCCTCGCAGAAGGTTGCGACCGCTTTAAAACAACTGTCGCTACCGGCCATGGAGCGTACTACGGCCGGTAGCGAGAGATCTGCTCCGATGACTGCAGTGAGGGCCCGGCGCTGCGTCGCCCATGCGGGGTAAACCGCCAGCGTGTGTTGGGCCGAATCCTCACTGCAGTCGCAGTGGTGTCAGGCGGGGCTCGATTCCCTCCTAGCGACCGAGTACAGGTACTTTCCGAAGCAACCGTGCTGGAAAGCACCTGCGTCAGCCGGAAGGAAAGGGTCCCGTGCTGCCGCCCTGCCCACTCGGCGATGACCGGCTGGAGAGCCTCCACGGCGGCGAAGCCAGCGCGTGAAATCTCCAGCCGGAACGACCATCTGACCATGGTGGCTCGGCGAGCGGCTTCGCGCCACTCGCGCACGTTTTCGGGCGGAGGGCGAAATCCGCTCTCCGCCCGGAAGTCAGCCACTCGCCGATAAACTTCGGCGAGCACCTCCGCCTTCAAATCCCACGGGGGTGTTCCGGCCAAGGCGCAAGCCGCCTCGGTGGACACCGCGCTCGTCTCGACTGTCGGAAGTGCTCGTCGAAGAGCCACCTACCGTCTAGGACCAGACCCAGGTACCTCATCTGGGCCCGGACCGGTACGAGGACCGAGCCGACCTCGATTGAGGCGCCGGCGGGCGGACCACGACGGGGCCCATGAAATAATAGGGCCTCCGTCTTATCCAGGGCCACCCGTAATCCCAACGCCTCAATGCGCCCGACCACTTGGGAAACTCCCGTGGCGGCCAGGCGCGCCGCCTCCTGGAAGTTAGCCCCCCGGGCCGTGAGCAAGGTGTCATCCGCGTAGCAGATTACATCCAGCCTGGGGGGGAGACGCCCTCGTAGGGCCCAGTCGTACCCGATGTTCCACAGGAGAGGTCCTATGACAGACCCCTGCGGAACACCGCACGACATGGCGAAGGAACTAAGGCCTCCCTTAAGGATTCCGGTCTTGGGCAGCCTGCATATATCTGCGGCCAGATGAATATGTATAAAGAGCTTAAACGATCAGACAAATTGCCTTATTTGGTTGCTGCTGCCTGTTCATGGACACCTGGAACTCAAAAATCATGTTTGCCTCTAGTAACATCACTAATGTGGTAAAGTGCACCAAAATTGCTTAACATTTTCTGTAAAACCGTGGTATCATTCCGGTCGAGCAAGCCTATTATTTATCGTATGTGGGAATCGAACCCTACCTCTAGTTAGGCGGTCAGGGTCGCTAACCACTTGACCAATAGGCGCGTTTTCGTTTGTTATTTTTCTTGTAATATTACTAATTAACGTGTAAAGTATAAGATACATGATGATGGTAGCTTATCTGGGGTATAAATTTTAAATATACATTATATTGTTGGTTGTACGGATTGTTTAGTAGTTTTTTTTTACTTCTCAGATGGCACAATGGCACTAAGTACAGTTGTCCACATTGTCACCACGAGTTCCTGTAAGTATTGAATTTATTTATTTATAACTTCTTGCACAAATATGGACATTGGCGGAGTGCAGAGAAAAAACGTCTTGTCTTGTCAAGGCTACCTACGTCCGTTCAGTATAGAACAAGGCCGAGTATACTACCCTGAGGGACGCCAATTATTAGCAGTCCTCCATTATGGTAGTATTTGTCTATTGTTCACTCACTGTATCTGATCAGGCTAAAAACTATGAAATATATGTTAGGAAATACCGCGAATTCAGATTTCTTTAAGTTTCTAGAGCAAATAGAAACAAAGACTGTGTCAAAGGCCTTGGTACTTACGCATTTCTATTTTGGCCACAATATGGCCCAATAATAAAACACACATGATCAGAATCATCTGATATTCACTAAACTTCTCAGAATCATATGCTTGTTGATTTCAAGATTGTCTGAAAATGTAACTAACTATTTTTTTTTCAGTAAATTTACAACATACATGGGCCACATACGAATCAAACACCCCTCAGACTTCGTGTGCGAAATATGCGGGTACTCGTTCGTCAGTGCGAAAGGGATAGAATTACACAAGAAACTAAAGCACAGATTAGATAATGTTCAGGTAAGAGGGAGAAAGAATACAAACAAATTTGTTAGCTGTAGTATTTGCGGACCGATACGACCTTTAAACATTCAAAGAAAGGGCGTACTTCATCTACAAAGACTGTAACGCACTTGTGAATCGCTTGCTCATTCCCCCCCCGCCCCCTCCCCTCATCAACAGCCTTTTATAGTCCACTGTTATACATAGGCCTCTCCTCAGAAAGGAGGTTTTGAATTACTACACCACGTTGGCCAGACGGGTTGGTATAGAGTTTGTGTCAAGTTTTCCTTCTCTTTGCAGTGCTGTTATCCTGGTAGTTTACTGCCTTAGTCGGCTCTTATTACACCCAGGGGGTGGTGACACTCCGTATTCTTAATCCGTCACCACACGGATATTGCCCCTATATAGTAAAAAAAATAGTGTAGGAAGGGATTGAAGTTAAGTGTAGGTGCTACTTTTTAAAAGTAAATTATTTTGTGACAGGTACCGGAAGATGGTCCCTTCTGCGAGTTGTGCAACGTGCGGTTCGTGTCTGCCGAAGCTCACAAACGACATCTGAGCGTGTCCGCGAGACACAACACAGGTTTGAAACTTGCCTCTTTCACCTTTTACGGTTTTATTTACCTGTTTGGGTCAAATTTAGTAAAAAAAAATACCACCGATTGATCTGTGGTACCCTTTAGTTTTAACTAGCTGGTACTCACGACTTCTGAAAAGCGCTGCCTTAGTGGTGTAGTACGGTACGCGACTGCAGTTCATGAAACCTCGGGTTCGATTCCAGGACCGAAAGAAATTAAATGGCGTTTTTCTGAGTTAAAAAATAGCATAAGTTACGGCGGTGAAATGTTATTAATATCAGTCCAGCCGTTTTGACGATTACCCGGAAACAACCAAACAGACAGTCAGACAGACATAAAATATTTTAACTGTTTTTAGGCATAACTATCGTGTGAATAACCGTGTAAGCTTGAAAAAAAAAACCATTATTTTAACATTACAAACAGACACTTCAAATTTATTTCATCATCAGCCTATCGCAGTCCACTGCTGGACATAGGCCTCTCCCATTGCACGCCACTTAGATCGATTTTGGGCTTCTCGCAATTATATTTATTTATATCTCGTTCTTTGTACAAGTAGTTCTGCTCTGGAATGCGCTCCCACTCGAAATCAGGATGTCCACAAACCGTTTCGCATTTAAAAGGAATGTACATAATTACCTTCTTGAGGAGATGGCGGAAGTGACTTAACTAATGGTACACCTCCTAAATTCAAGCATTCACAGTGTACAAACATAAATAATATGTATTTATATCTATATTTATTTCTATATATATGTGTAATTATATTTGTATTACATTATAACTTATATGCATAATATTTGTAGATTTTGCTTAGTTTTAGATAAACAATTATTTACAATCATTGATACAATCGTAACCTCGGTGCACCTACCCTACAAGATTTCTACACCACCTAAAGGTTGGCTGGTAGAGAATGCCCAGGGCATTAAGTCCGCCGATGTACATAAGTGCATGAAGATGTAAAATAAATAAATAAATAAATAAATAAAATTCTCGTGTCACAATGTTCGTTCCCGTACTCCTCCGAAACGGCTTGACCGATTCTCATGAAATTTTGTGTGCACATCGGGTAGGTCTGAGAATCGGCCAACATCTATTTTTCATACCCCTAATGGTAAGGCTGACCCATCCCTAAATTTTTTTTTTAGGCAAAGCAACGTTTGCCGGGTCAGCTAGTAGATATATATATTTATTTATATGATATTTGTAACTAAATGACACACATTTATAATAACTAAAAATCATCATCTATCATTATTATCCATCACCGCCGATGATGTAATTAGATAAAAATACCAATTAATACAGTATATTATACAAACTTTATTTAAATCAATTGCAATAGCCATAGTGATCATCAAAAATAACAATTCTAATTATTCTCACACATATTTACACTTTTTAAAACTAGAATGTGTCCATCCATACCATAGATGGCTAACTGCACGGATGGCGTAGTGGTTTAAGCGGTCGCCACGCCGCGTACTACTACGCTGAGTGTTGTGGGTCCGATCCCCACATGGGACGACACTTTGTGTGATCCACAAATTGTTGTTCTGAGTCTGAGTGTTCTTTGTGTCCGTTTCATGTATGTTTGTAAAGTCCTCCACGACACAGGATATACTTACTCCTAATGCGGGAGTTGTCTTTTTAAAAAGAAAAGAAAAAGAAGATGCTGGATCGCGACAGGTATTAATAGTGTACCCTAGCAGAAGCAGGCCGGGGTGGCGTCGAGCGCGTTGCGAAGCGCGCTCGCTTCCAGGGAGCACAGGGAACATGGGGTTTCCACACGGGGGGTGGGGGGGTCGGTACTCGTCTGTAGATGGCCCGAGGTATGTCGGGGCACCAGGGACTTCCTTTCTAGGGTATACTTGGGTATACCCGGCTATTAGCACCCGAGACGGCGTGCGGTTTTAGTCGGTTCGAGTCCGACATGCCACCGATAGGTGGTATCCAAGGGAATTTCCGCACGGAAAAAAAAAAGTTATTAATAGTGTCTCTATCTATAAATCACAAAAAAAAAAAACAGAAAATTCGTTCTTTTCCTTGTAATTATCGTTAGAACTAACTAATTTGACATCCATCTAGAAACTGCTAGAATATCATGTTACTTTTTCTGGCACACAACTTCGGGCGCAGAATATTCTATTTATTATATATTATATGTACAGGCACAGATAAGGATGGCCAGGAATCAAACAAACCGAAGAAGGGGAGAAAAACAAAAGAGTCGAAAGAGATGGAAAGGAGATCAAGGGAGATAGAGAAAGAGACAGAGGACAAGAAAAAGATGTATCCAATTCAAATGAGGAAAGCCGAGGGACCTAATACCTTGTGAGCAAGTTAGTTGTTTTTGTATGTATTTATTGAGTAGTATTGTGGACTCCCGTACAGTGACGGATATTAAGAATTACGGAATGTCACCACCCCAATTCATCCCGTTGGTGGTCGTAAGAGCCGACTAAGGGAGAAAACTGCGCACAAAAACAGCACTGCAAAGAGAAGGAAAACTTGACAACAAACCCTATACCAACCCGTCTGGTATAGTAGGCCAAAACCTCCTTTCTAAGGAGAAGGTTGTGTCCAGCAGTAGACTATTAAAGGCTAATAGGCCTCTCCTTAGAAAGGAAGTTTTGGCCTACTACACTATGCTGGCCAGACGGATTGTGATAGCGTTTGTGTCAAGCTTTCCTTCTCTTTGCAGTGATGTTGTCCTGCGCAGACGCTTTAATGTCAATCAGTGTTAAGTATGTATATGTTATCTACTATGTTTGCAGATCATTAAAGTTCTGTCAATAATACTTTTTTTCCTCAGTGCGGCCTCCAGTTAGAAGACTCCAGAGCTTACCACAGCCACTTCAGGCGGGTGCATCCGGATAAGAATCGAACCAACTACCCTTCGATGAAGTCGCCTTGCATGTGTGAGGTGTGCGGCAGAATGTTTCAGGTTAGAATCAGATTTTTTTTAAATACAGGCTCTGTTCTAATGGAGGAGTTTAGTAATAACTTTTTCTTTTAAAGACAACTCCCGCATGGAATAAATCCTGTGTCGCGGGGGACTTTACAAACATACATGAAACGGACACAACGAACACCCAGACTCAGAACAACAAATTGATTTTGCTTAAAAAAATTTTTTTTTATTAATTTGTTGAAATATACTGCATTGCAACATGCAATGCAGCAGGGATGGCGCAGTGGTCACCTCGCCGCTTCACATGGGACAAAACTTTGTGTGATCCACAAATTGTTGTTCTGAGTCTGGGTATCCTTTTCATGAATGTTTGTAAAGGCCCACGCAACATGATATATTCCAAAATTACTGCTGCTGCATAAAACAATATGCGTCCAGTGTATATGTGACCTGTCGCAGTATAAAGGTGTATACAATGACAGTTCAAGTTACACTGGCTTCCCGATGAATAGTGTAACCGTGGTCCCGTGACAGAGCTACGCGCTGCTGAAGGACCACACGTGGACCCACACGGGCGAGCGGCCCTTCAAGTGCGACAGTTGCGGCAAGGCCTTCCGCATGAAGCAGCGCCTCGTGGCCCACCGCAGGGTCCACAGCCAGGTCCGCGCCAGCTACGGCTGCGGCCTCTGCGGGAAGCACTTCAGCACGCACAGCAACCGCCAGCGACACATGTTTGTGAGTACACCTACCCATCATACCCTCATCCTACTGCCATTTTTAGTCGACTTCGAAAAAGAAAATGTATTTTTGTATTCTTCTATTCTATGATAAGTAAGTGTGTCTGAGAGAGCGTCAGGATTTTTTTTAAATTTACCCCTAAATAGTCGTCTATAATTGAAATGAGGCGAATCGTATGGTGTTTTTGATCCCAATTTCTGCCCTTGTCACAGTCCCACCCCCGTCCTTAATGTCGTCACAAATTTGGCAATATTAAATCTAGATATTAGTTCGGAATTTAGTCTAGAGTCCGGAGTACAAAACTCCGTCATCTATGATCTATGTTTGAGAAATTCTGTCTTTTGTTCTGACATGGTATACTTTCAATTCAAACTTAAGAAAAAAAAAATGTATCCCTAAAAGTGAAAATTAAGGTATGAAGAATACAGTCATGATCCGCAAGATGGCGTGCAGGAGCTGGATGCGAGAAGAAGAAAATCGATCTAAAGGGAGAGGTGATGATGTTGATGTGTACAGTTAGTTACAATTCCTCATGATATATTTATTTTCCCACAGATCCACACGGGTTTGAAGCCGTTCAAATGTGAAATGTGCGGGAAAGGGTTCAAACACGCGAGCGAAAAGAGAGCTCACATCACGTACGTGCATCTGAAGAAGCCGTGGCCGAAGCGAGCCAGAGGGAAGAGGAGATCTGACACCAGACAGGTCAGACTGCAATGTTAACACACACACTGAGTTATCTATACAACTGAATAAAATTTAAGTGTTTTGTTGTAATATCAAAATATCTTTTTTGTTTATGCTATGTTATTTGCACGAAACCAGTTTTTTTAGTTTTGTCACTGTCTGTCTGTTTATTCCAGTAATCTTAAAACGACTGGACCGTTTTTGATAAAATTTAACTTAGTACTTTTACTAAGTTAGTGAAATGTTATAAAAATAGGTCCAGCCGTTTTGAAGATTACCCGGAACAAACAGACAGACATATTTATTTAAACTTTAATATATATTTAAACTGGTTCTTAGGCATAGGTATCGTGCAATAACCGTGTGAGCATGAAAAAACATATTGTTTTGACATTACAAACAAACATTTACAATAGGGAATATGCATGTATTTTTTTTATTTTTTTAACGATTCTACTAGTTATTACATTAGCAAAAATAAATATAACACATCCGAAATATAAACCGTTAAGCAAAAAAAAAATTATTAAAATCGCTATCATTTTGGGGCAATTTGAACACGTCCATTTTAGCGCGCTTTTTGCCAGTCGTCGTCAGATTACACTTTCAGACGAATTCGATGTCAACAACGGAGTGAAGTTCACAAAGTTAAAAAAGTGAGTGATAAAAATTAACTTATTACCATGGAAAGCCAGTAAAAACTTATTATAAATATTGTGCCGTTCCTTTGTGCCCAAATAATATCAAAACTGCACCTGACAAAGTATATTCAGTCATTGTGTTGAGTCTTTCTAGACGGGAATTTAATAATTTAACACTGAAAACGTATTAGTTATTAACTTAAAACGAAACAAATAATCACCAGAAACCAAATATTACAAATACACACAACTTGTTGACACTCTTGACAGTGTAGGTTGACGTCACGTCTTATTCAACCAATAGCGTTGCGTTTTAGAAATTTGCGAGGGAATCTTAAAAAAGCCAATTTTTGATGATTAAATTTCACTATTAAGTTATAATAAATTTCAAAAATAATTGTGTGGGTATCTTTTTTTAGCAATAAAAATTACAAATAAAAATATTTTGTGCAGTTTGGTGTCTCGTGCATATTCCCTATTAATAATAAATTAACAATTTTATTTATTTTAACAGATAAACAGTTTTTTTAATACCAGTTAAGAAAAAATGTCTGTGTCTGTCTGTTTGTTTGTTCCGGGTAATCTTCTAAACGGCTGTACCGATTTTGATAATATTAAGTTTTAATAAAAATTTGATATGATTTAAAAAAAAACTGCCGTATAACACGTTTTTTTAAAAACAGTCTGTGATATTGTACCACTGTTTTTTTTTGTTTTGTATTCTACATTGTATTGTTCCTAACCATAAATAATACCTATTTATCTAACCTATATATAGTTTCCAAAATTTAAAACACGTACTGTTCTTCATATAAAAATCAGAAGAACCTTAATGCCGTATCATTAACTTATTTTGTCACCTTTTTAGGGTTCCGTACCCAAAGGGTAAAACGGGACCCTATTACTAAGACTCCGCTGTCCGTCCTTCCGTCTGTCTGTCCGCCCGTCTATCACCATTCTGTACCTCATGAACCGTGACAGTTAGACAGTTGAAATTTTTACAGATGATGTATTTCTGTTGCCGCTATAATAACAAATACTAAAAACATAATAAAATAAATATTTAAACGTGTTTTTTTTTTGCTCATTTCTACTCGATATTGATAACGGCAACAGGTAGACGCTTGAAACATGTACAGAATATTTAATTATATATACACTTTAAAAATAAATAATTAAATTAAAATAAAACAAATATTTAAGGGGGGCTCCCATACTACAGACGTGTTTTTTTTGCCGTTTTTATAGATAATGGTACGGAACCCTTCGTGCGCGAGTCCGACTCGCCTTTAATGGGCGGCACTTAACATCAAGTGACCAGGCTACTCGTTTTACCCCTATACCATAAGATATAAGATAAGATATAATAATAACAATAATTTCCCTTCATTGCAGGGTCAGTTGGCTCCTCACCAAAGTCAAGCAGACGAGATGGATCTCTCAACACCAATATGGCCCCAGTGCGACCCCAAACTTGGCGACATCAATGACATGATCGTCGATAAACCTGTGTATTACAACTTGAAGATATAGAATAGAATTAAAACTATATGAGTGATATTTATATTAGGTTAAGATATGGTCCTTTATCCCTATGTTCGGAGGGGGGGGGGGGCGCTCGCTGCTCTATACGCAAGTCTCCACGGATTCCTGTTGCCCTCTCCATTGTCTCGCCATAACTCTTATTCCTCACATGATACTCCTTTCTAGCCTGCTCTTCCAGATAACCCTTTTGCTTTTTCTGCCTCTGCCATTCGTTTCTCGGTCTATTGTTACCCTTGCGCAACGCCTCCAAGCCTGGAGACTATCATTCATATCTTCTTGCAGTCCTGCCTTCCTCACGCAATCCCAAACATTACTCAGCCGCACGCACCACCACTAATCCATTCTTCTAACATTCTTGCCGGTCCTGGTCTTGCCACCCCACTGTCCTGGAACAAAACAGGTAGAAGATTGGGCGGTGGTGCGATTCAAAAGCCTCCTCGACGACTCCCAAGACCCACGTCCTCACTCCGTGTCGACATGGTGACGTCCATGTTGGACTCCGGGTCCTTCGAGCAGAAGTTATGGGGCTGTCCTGATATGTTATCGCCTCCATATCCTCGCGACGGGTTTCCCGTCCTCTCCCTGACAGGTGGGACTTCGTCGTTCGCTCTCGTCTGAGACAGACGTGTGTCGAAGTGCGATCCGTAATTTCACTTAATTTTTCATTTCTTGTTGTAAAATGTTTTAAACTCGGTCCCTCCTGCTCCTATCGGGGTATCGTCCGTAAGAGCCCGCGGCCATCGTAATGGTTGTACCGCGTTGAGTGAGACAGACACTCGGTGTAGTGATAGTGACACAAGTGACAGTGACACATTTGACAAGTGGTAGTGACAAAAGTGACAGTGACGTTTCTGTTGCGAGTGTGATAGTGACGTAGTGTGCGTGTGTGTGTCGACGTGAATTGTCTGTTTTACGTACATAATAGTGCAAAGCTGGCTAGTGTATCCCTACGGTGGCAACACTTTTTTTTTCTTTTATTGTCTTTGATTTGTTTCGCCTATTTTGAATAATAAAAAATGGAGGTGAAATGAAATCCCCCTCATCTCCGCCCCATTGACATTGAGCGAACAGTACACCACCGCAGGTTTTAAATAATAATAATATAGAATAATAATATAGATTTATCACAGGTGAAATCACAGTGACCAAAACCACTCAGTTCATCAAATGAATCTGATTTAAAAGTAGCAATAATTTCCATGTCTAATTTATATGGAGCTATACATATAAAATTACTGGCCTTGATTTACTGATTCATCAACGCTGAGCCAGATTCTCATGACGATTCGTCGCCTAAATGGAGAATATACCTGGAGGTGGTGCCCGCGCCGTTGCGAGCAGGCACTGGGAGGGGCCGGATGTCCTAATAACAGCTGTTCCCGGATCCCTCCCATTACAGGCACAGAGTGGCACACCGTGTGGTTTTAGTCGGTCCGATTCCGACACACCACCCTGGCGTAAACCCCGGTAGGGTGACGGCCCGAGGGGGTTTCCACACGTAAAAAATAATAAAAAAGATTCTTATGACGATTAGCAATCGGCCCAGCCTTTTTTGAGTTTAAGTGGTGTAACTAACCCGTCTTTTTTATTTATTAAGATGTGTAGGCATTAAAGTATCTTAGTAATTGATTTAACAGTATTAAATATTATCCCCACTTCTTATAAAATTCCATCACTGCATCTGTTCTGTATATGATTAACTCCAAAACTGCCCGGGTTCACGCGTGGATACAGTGATTCATAAGATAAGTTTAGATGTACGAGTACAACACATTAAGGTTTTGTATATGTTTTATATAGAGAGAAAGGATTCGACACAAATGGACCGGTCCATTTGTGTATATGTCCGCTATATATATATATATATATATATATACGGAGGACGGACGGATATAATACGGAGTGTCACCACTCCTCTCCTATTTATCTATCCCATAGGTGTGGTAAGAGCCGACTAAAGGAGCAAACTACACGCAGGACAACAGCACTGCATAGAGAAGGAAAACTTGACACAACCCGTCTGGCCAGCGTGTTATAGTAGGCCAAAATCTCCTTTGTAAGGAGAGGCCTATGTCCAGCAGTGGACTATTAGAGGCTGTTGATGATAATCTCCACACGAGATTTAAAAAAAAAATGGATTTAGTTGCCGTTGTTTTAAGGTTCAGAAGTCGTTTTAAAATATACTGTATTGTATAAAAAAATCTTTCGAATACTCAATAATGTAATCAAATTTTTGGGCAAATGTATTATTTAAATCAAATGTATATTATAAAGTACATAATAATATGAATATATAGAAGTAATGAATAAAGAGTGCATTTTAGACAATATTTTGTAATCGAATACTAGTTTTGTTTTAATAAATGCGTATAATCTGTACTTTTGTTTGTATTTCTCCTGTCAAGAGGTCATAGACAAACGTGGTGTAGGACGCATACAGGTCGGGTGGAGTGACGATTTCTGGCAGGAGCTGGATGCAATAAGCCAAAAATCTACCTGATTGGCGTGCAATTGTAGATACCTATGTTCAGCAGTTTTTCTATGTTACTGTATTTTTTTCTGTGTTATTTTTTTACAGAATTCTGTCGATAATGAAACTGGCCTGACAGCGTTCCAGAAGACATTTGATGATGGTTTGTTAGTATGTACCGACTATGCTTGCTAACATTTGGTCTATGAAGGAAAAATACCAGCCCTAATTTAGAAAATTAAAGAATGGAGAATAAAGTTTATTCCAATTCATCATGCGGCAGGCGTTTTGAAGGTTTTTAATACTGTTTCAAATGTGAGATAATATTAAAAGAAATACTTGCTACTAAGTTTATATAATAATGGTTAAATAAAACTATAGAGGTCCAGTCTTTCATTTTTTTTATGGTATAAGGGGGCAAAGGAGCAGACGGGTCACCTGACGGTAAGCAACTACCGCCGCCCATGGACACATGCAACTCAAAAGTCACAAGTGCGTTGCCGCTCTTGGAGTCCCTCCCGCTCAAGTCAGCGTAGTTTACTCCCTTAGTCGGCTTTTACGACACCCTCAGGATGAATCGGGAACAAAAGTTATACAAATTGTTCAACACAAAACTACATATGTTTCTACTCAATAAATTGCCTCCACATTAAATGAAACAAGTAGATACAAAATATAAATCTATACTAGCTGAAGCTGAAGAGTTTGTTTGTTTGTTTGTTTGTTTGAACGCGCTAATCTCAGGAACTACTGGTCCGATTTGAAAAATTATTTCAGTGTTAGATAGCCCATTTATCGAGGAAGGCTATAGGCTATATATCATCACGCTAAGACCAATAGGAGCCGAGCATCAATGAAGAATGTTTCAAAAACGGAGAAAATTTATTACTATTGAGAGACGCAGACGAAGTTGCGCGGGTCAGCTAGTTTAAAAATAAACGCAACAAACATTACCTCTCATTGCCCTTTTAGTGACCTCAGGATTAAGAGTTCCAGCGGTAATCTCAGTCACTTAGTGGAAAAGCAACGCACTAATTGCCTAACACCGGTTTTCTGTGAGGCTGTTGTATTATTCCCGTAGAGCTGGTCCGTAGGGGCCGAAGTGATGTTCGTGTCGTTTCTAAGAAACATTTGTTCAAGATCTCTCTCTTCAAGATCTTAAGATCAAATGTCATACACAGTTCATTTTGTCAGAATTCTCTCGTAAACCTAAACAAGTATAATTTACACCATTTATGTTGGTTTTGCCGTAATTCTAGTCCACATAATCAGTTGCCGATATGCAGAGATAGGTTAGAAAGTCAACTTGACGGTTTATATTACTCACTTTGTATAATTTTTTTGGGGTGGAAACAATTTAAGGTTAAAATATTTAAAAATTGTAGGTATTGAAGTGCAGTATCAGTCCGAAGATTGTACTCTCGCTGTTTGGTGTCTGGAACTGTAGTTTGTTTGATGTTTGCGAATATTACTTACTTCTTTTACATTTAATATACTATGAAACAATTGTAAAGTATGTTTTTCTAAGCAAGTTAATTGTTGCCTCACAAAATCGATTGATTTTTCTGTCAAAAGCGTTCGACTGCGTGAATAATTAAACATCGCTAATAAAACTTAAGGATTATGTAACCAGTAAACAAGCTGTCTGTTTGGTAACATTTTACCTCATTGCATAGACACCATTAGGTTTTGATAAACGGTGGTAATTCATTAGGATCAACATTTACGACAAGGTGTACCACAGGGATTGATATTGGGCCCGCTTCTAATTCTAGTCTGGAGTAATGTTTTTCTGATTTAAAATAAACTATGTCAATAGTTCTGAGGGCTTAAATAATATGATTCGTCAAAATAACTGCTAAGCCACAAGTTAGGTTGGTAATAGACTTCAGGACAAATAATTGTGTGATTGGCATAATCATTTGTGTCTGGGTATGATTTATCTATATCATATGAAGTATATATATCAGCAGTCTGGTTACAAAATAGCACAGGATCTGCTTCAATTTAGTTCAGTCGGCCGTCTGTGGGTGTGTTAAGGGGTTAGGGGTAGTCAGAATTTTCAAAAAATCGATATTTTTTTTTTGCATTTTCAAATATAATATTTTAAAAATATTGTGTGAAAATTTGAAGTGAATCCGACAAATTCTTTTCGAGTTATTTAACAATGACCAAAGGACGCTCGGGTGCTACGTGGCATTCGAGAGCAGGTAGCTAGAAACAGCTGCAAGCAACCGACGATAACACCCGAGAAGGTCGATTGCAACGTAGGCACCAGCAAATCGATATTTTGGAAGCTGCTATGACGGCTGAAGAGCTATTATATGGTCCAGGAATAGATGACTCAGTGTAAGTTATTAAATAATTCTTATAATTCGACATAAATCCATAGCAAAACTTTAAATGCGTTTTTCTCAAAACTATGTTTTCTGAACTGGTGATCACTGTAACTTAAAAACTGCTCGGTAGATTTCAATAAAATTTCTTGTACTTTTGAAATACATTAAAAACTCGTGCCTGATCGAAGGATTTCTTTTTTTTTTCAAAATTTCGATTTTTTTTAACAATAAACTGTCGGTTTTTTTTCTCGAAAATTTGAAAAAAAATTCCTGAGGCCGCCATTTTGTTAATTTCGAAAAAAAAAAAGCTTCGATCAGGCACAAGATTATCTATTAATAAAACAAATTTTTCTTGTCCGAATGATTTTAGATGAATCTCCAAGGACTTATGATGATCACCGCAAAGGACTTCGGGAGGAACGGGCTCTACAAAAACAGCGATAACTTTTTGAATTATTAATTATTTTTTTTGAAATTTTCGTGAAGTCAAATCGAAACGTGTTCTAATAAAGATATGTTTTTATTTTTGTCAAATAAAGTAATTAACTACAAAATTTTTTTTATTGAAAATCATCATTTTTTCAGGCCTCTGACCCTAACCCTACTAACCCCTTAAGTTGTTATTATTATTGTTGCGCCATAGGATTAAATGGTTCGATTGCTCCAGAATTGTATGGAATGTTGAGGACAGCGCCATCTAGTATCGAGTAAAGTACATCTATTAAGATTGTGGTTAATAGTTCTAATCCTTACCGCGCTAGATGGCGCTGCACGTAACGCGTGACTGATTCTGGAATATTCTTGTCTGTCTGGAACGGACTATCGAATACTAGGGATCTTTGTAGTAAATTCGATAGCGCTATAAAAGCGGAGCGTGTTGGCCGTTCGACACAATATTGTTTTACGACACAGCAATTAATATCGGAGTGAATTTCTAGTGCGACTAACGAGAATATGTAGTGATTTCTTGTTTATTATAGTGAGTGTTTGTAAATACAGCGCAATAAAGTAATTAATCAACAACTTTTATTTAGTATATACCCCTCTCGTATATTTTGATATTATCAATAAACAGTTCTAAATTCAAACAAAATACTTTTATTTTTAGGTGAATCCTAATTCCGCCGTTTATAAAGTGTTATATTCATTGTAGTAGTAGTAACCCACCAATGGTTTGATATTTGTGTTGGTGCCAGAGGCCAATAGCAATTTACTACCTACGGACGGGCTAATGACATGCACGAAATCTCTTGGCCTGTGGTGGTGCACCTGGAATTATAAGGAATCATTCTGTTATGAATACTTTTAAAATTCAAGTCAAATCATATAACCCCCATCACATCGCTCCCGGTGCAAGGGTGCCTATGATACATGATATAATTTTTTGGTGCTTATATGTAATTTTAATTGCATTAGAATATATTTAACTGTATATAAGTAATGTTACATTAAAACAGTAAAAAATAATATTGGTTTTAAAATAAGTTTTTTTTTTTATTATGTGAATAATGACAAAGTTTTGTAAAATCTTAGTATTTTATTAAACATTTCGTATTTAGCAGGTAAATATGTAATATACTAGCTGAGACCCGCGGTGTTACCCGCGTTTGTTGTTATAATGGCGGGCAACGCCGCGGGGCGAAGCTAGTCTAAAAAAAGTACTCCTTATGTCATCAGCTATGTGCCAGTGAAAGTCCCGTCGAAATCGGTCCAGCCGTTCCAGAGATTACCCGGAACAAACAGACCGACAAATTGAAAAAAATGTTATTTTGGCATATGTACCGTGTAAACATACATATGCATTTAGTAAAAAGCGGTTATTTTAATATTACAAACAGACACTCCTATATTATTTATTTGTATAGATATTATTGTCCAAAGTTTTTAGACAGTTAATTATTCATGTCGTAATATGAGTATGCAAATAAGGGAGACTTTTTTCGACTGGCGTTGCTATTTACTCGGATGTAATAGTTGTCTTCAAGCCATTTCAACACGTCATTCACAATTTGATGTAGTGTACTTGACGATACCTGAAAATATATAGAATAGAATGGAGTAAATTTTATTGCACACTAAAAATTACGAGAAGGTTCGCGCAAATGGCGGTCTTATAGCTTCACAGCAATACACTGAACCTTTAGATTGACAAATCGACCTTAAATAGACGAATTTATTTGTTGTTCTTTGTGAAAACTTGAAAACTTTATACAAAAAAAAAAAACTAACTATATCCTGCCACGCTTTTGCTGTGGCACATTGATATGGCAAAGAATAGATAAAAACCATCTTTGACGCGTGTTGTATATCGCGTAATCTATGTACTATACTTATATTTTAAATAAGATAACTCTAAATGTTATGTTGGTTTGTGTACGCTTAGAATAAATTCAAAAACTCAAAAACTTTTTGTGTATCATCAAATTGGAAATCAGTAAACATAGACAAAAACCAGCACTTGGAGACGTGACTCAAATGTTTTTAAGTTTAGAAACACTGGTATTATATAAATCTATGTCATGTAGATGAAATTTTATTACATTGTATAATCGCGGGTATTAAACATATTTTATAGTATTTAATACAAAATAAAAATATAACTTTGATATCTTCATATAAACATTAAATATAAATGATTTGACAATAGCTACGTATGACATCACGCCCTAGTATTTCAAACAAAACTGTGTGAAACTTTGACATTTAACAAAAAGATACTGATTTGATTTCTTGTCAATGTACCCAATTTCTTTTCAACTTCCAGTGTATGGTGGGGTCTTTTTGTATAATGAATAAACCAGTAGAGGGCAAAGTTGTTTTATTAAACCATGTCACTGTCATTTTATAAGTTTCCTGTCAAATGTCACTTATGTAATAAATAGGCCATCGATATAATTAAAGCCGATTAGTAATTTTATCGGTTGGGGAGAGGAGCTCTGGAGCGTCACTTCACCAGATGACTCTGTTAACTTTTTTTTATCATTATGAATATCTCGTAAATGTACCTGAAATTGGAGACAAGTAGGTAATAGTTCATTTATTTTGTAGCTTGCTTTTGCCCTTATTTGTAACTTCATAGAAACCTCTGTGTCTATCATAGCGTTTTTTAGGCAAAATTAAAATGGAAGGTGGCAAAAGTGTGGAACTGCATTTATGACTCCTGAATCGAGTTGTGTTGCTCATTTGTCCTATGTAAAATCTTAGTTTTGTTTCCGTGACGGACAGACGATCAATTCATCGAAACTCAATTTATCGAAACCAAGTAAAGAAATAAATATAATTATATCATGATAATAATAATAAAAAAAATATACGACAAATATAATGCTTGTTAAAAGTCTATATCTAGATTTTATCTATAGTAAGGTTGTCTACAATGCTCTAAGAAGCTTTACAGTTATTATGTCTTGTAATTCTGTACAATCCAATATTTTTAACATTTACTTATATCGATGAAGTACTAATCGTAACGACAATTTTTTGGGGCATCTTGAACTATCTTCTTCGCCTTAAGGAGAAGTAATGGAAAATACTGAGATTAAAAAAAGCTGTGAGATATGTCGATGTATGTTTAGGAGTATTTTTAGAAGAGCAAAGTTCAGTTTTTTTTAACACACTTGGCAATAACGGTTAAAGATCTTTGAGATTCCCGCAATCGATTCATCCAGCGATCATCATAAAAGTTTCTACAGAACCCTCGGTGCATGAGTTAGACTCACACTTTTCGAGTTTTATTTAATCTAATATATAAAATTCTCGTATCACGGTGTGCGTGGTTGAACTCCTCCGAATCGGCTCGACCGATTTTAATGAAATTTTGTGTGCATAGGTCTGAGAATCGGCCAACATTTATTTTTTATACACCTAATTTTATTTTATTTTTTGACAACAGAAATTGAAATAATGTAAATGGCAAACCAACGTTTGCCGGGTTAGCTAGTAATATATATATAGTTAAAACAAAGCAATATGTTATAGGCTCTGTGTATAATCACAATTGGAAAGAAAATCAAACTCACCTTGCTTTACATTCTAAATTAAATCATCTTCAAGTCCAATTATCATACTATTGTACTCCAAAAAGGAAGCATATGCTTACATTATATTACCGTACTCACTGTGATCAGGTCTAAAGATTAACCCTTATTAAATGTTAAATCTACAATAATCATCGTACCGCGTGGTAAGGTTGATAACGCGAATCGTCATTTAAAAAAAATAATTACTGCAATACGCCGTGGAGTGTATCTTTAGCCCATCAAAAATGGACATTTGTATACATCGATTAGGCACCACATTGACGATACACAAATTACAGATACAAAAGAGGTTGACATTTAACGAAGAAAAAGTAAAAAGACACAAAGGACAATATTATTAAAATACAATAGACCACAATAAAATTTACTTACGCTGCCGTGAAATCATTGACACGTATTTTGATAAGGCGAAAAATAATATTTATTAATATTTACCTGTTTACCAAGGATCTGGATGTTTCCATCGTAGGGGGTAGGATCTGTACTCATTTGTGGCCAATTGTAATCATTGTCCAATACTGGTTTCGTCCAGAGTTCTTCGTCACCATGAAATCCGTGAGGTTTTGTCAGGAACCCGGGTATTTGTATAAACAACAGACATACTGCAACTGTAAATTAAAAGTTATTAAAACATCTGCAGCTAAAGAGTTACAAGTGTGTTACCACAGCGCCTCCCTCTCCAGAATCAGGTGGAAGGAGAGGGACTTGGGCTCCGGAAACTTCACGACCAGTTCTCTGAGGCCGTAGTACCTCTTCGGTTTGATCAGCATGGCTCACCCACGATGATGGCGGAAATGGATTGTCGGAAAATAACCCATGTCCACCATCATCATCAACAGCCTTTAATAGTCCACTGCTGGACATAGACCTTTCTTTAGAAAAGAGGTTTTGGCCTATTATACGCACGCTATATCCTTCTCTTTGCAGTGCTGTTGTAATGCGTAGTTAGATCCCTTAGTCGGCTCTTACGAGTTACGACACCCGCGGGATGAATAGGGGTGGTGACACTCCGTATTCCTAATCCGTTACCACATGGAATGTCAATAATACATACCATACAATTTTATGATTTGTGTTCATCGGTAAATGATAATGTAGGAATCTTAAGCCTTGATTTTTATTCTTAAGCTTTAATTTGTTCATCGGTAAATGATATTGTAGGAATCTTAAGCTTTGATTAATTACTGTCTGTACTGTACTGTAAAAATCAAAGTACCGGATCCTGTGATACAGGATCCGGTACTTTGATTTTTGTTGCACAAATGATTTAGTATTTTTAAACTAGCGCTATCCAAATTTACTCTTAATCTATATATATAGATTAAGAGTAAAATACTAATTTGTGAAAATGTTCTTTGTGGGGTACAAAGAACATTTTTCACGTAAACAATTTTTAAACAAATATAGCACACCGAAGCATCATAATTATTTGGAATACTTAATTTCAGATTTTGAAGAAGTGCACAAAGCTACATTTTTAATAATATGTGCCTCGCCACGTGACCCTCTTCGGGGTCTTACAGCCGCGATAACGGCAAGCCCGGCGCTCGGTTGCCCAAGTCATTCCACTCCTCGAGGACTCGGTTTAGTTGGGATTTCTGGTGATAGATTTCTCGAGTCTCAGGACTCCGACCCGACTGACGCGCCACTGATACAGAGCCGCAAGGGCTCTCGCCTCCAGGTCCCAAGGTGGAGTTCTGGCCAGGAGACTCGCCGCCTCAATGAGATCGTGGGGCCTCATAAAGGGCCATGGACCGCACAGCCCCCGAGTAGAGTTTCCTATGGGAAACCAACAACCAACTTGGAGACCAGACCTCTGAAATGATATCCGACGTCCCATCGGCCATTGAGTACAAGCCCCAGATATCCCATCGAGTGCGAGAGCGATGCCGATGCGAGTGCTTCCTACCATTTCATTGCTCCTCAGTCCATATTTTGACCTGTCATCTAATAAAATGAAAGTCGATAGATGGCGCATGGCGTGCAGTGGGAGAAGCCTATGTCGAGCAGTGGACTGCGATAGGCTGATGAATAAGAGTTTAAACTTTGGCAGTCAAAGATATAGCGGTTTATGAAAAGAATAAATTTGATGGTCAGCGGTAGCAATCATTTTTACGTAATTTCTAACTGCTCTCCATTAGGTATTTCAAACCGACTTCCTTGATTCCACAATACAGAAATAATAGACCACTATTAAGTCTTTATTGTAGTAAATACTTAATTGATAGATATTGGTAAAATTAAGTTATTATATTATAAAGTAACTATCTTAAAAATCACCCCACTTTTTTTAGACTTTAGGCGGCTGAAAGAGTGTTTGTTTTTAAAACTATTAAGACTAAAAAAGTATTAAGTAAGTCACATATGCTTCATCACACGCCTTATAGTACGTGGCAAAAGACGCTACCGTATTTTTAGGTGTGGAAGACGCCGTTAATCTTTAAAATCTTGAGCAGAATATTCGGACAAATTTATCAAATTATCCAAAAAGTACGCGAAGTTTGAATTCAATCCGACGTTATAAAGTGGGTGAAAATCACGTTTAAAGTTTCCGTTACATAGATACACATACCAAGCTAATAAAAGCGTGTTAAAAACGTTTTAAAAACACATTGATTTTTACTCCTAAAACGATTTGTAAAAGGTAGTGATTAACTTTATAAATGGTGGAGTTAGAAGTCTACTGAAAATGTGTGTGAAAATGTGTATTTCATCTAAATTTATTTATTTATTAATAATATCGTAGAATTCTAAGAAGTACACTATTTACAGAAGAAAAAAATACTCTTAAAAAAACTATAATTTGTATGCAGCGTGAATTACTTACGTAGTATATAATTTGTAACCATCTTGTTTAATGTAGGCGCGAAATAGAAATGGCGTAATATTCTATGTCACAAAATGGCCTCGTACAAGAAACTGTTTATGAAACTAATAATATTTCATTAAATTTAATGTTGTAGTAATAACTTTTTATGTATTTGTTTACAAAATCATTAACTTTATCGCGTGTACCTGTAATTGAACAATAAAACTTGATAGTCACAATTAATTAATTGGCGAATAATTTAACATTTTAGACATGGAATAATTTAAGTACATACTAGCTTTGCCCACGGCTTCGCTCGCGTAAATAACAATTTTGTCAATAAATTTAACTTAAAACAAGATTCACCGATCCACACTCAAGTGAGTGATAGCTTATTTTAGAACGATGTTTAAATTTTTACTCAATTATACATTTTGATAGCTGTGATCTTTGTTTACGTGAGACAAGCTAAAACAAGTCTCAAGCTGTGATTTCCGATGCATTTTAGGGGAAATGAATGTGTTTTATGATGATTTGTTTCTGAGTAATTACGAAAGATTTAGTTTATTTTATTTACGAAAGAATTAAGTACTTGTTATACTATAATCAATTCACTTTAATTTACCTGAATTGATATTAAATTCTCATTTTACACACACAATACTTGTTTAAATTAAAATCCCCACAACCGTCTGGTTCATGTTAAAAGTATAATATTATTCTAGTAATATAAATTTTACAAATATAAAAATAAAAACATTGTTAGAAATTTCAACATGACAAGTGTTGATAAATAACTTGAACGTTCCGTTATAGCCTATATCTAGTCATTTTTTTTAAATATTTATTAAAATTAATTTTAAATTATTAAAACAAATTAAAAAATCAAGTTTGTTAATATGTTAACATTGCTACACTAGCCAATAGTATACTATATACAAATTCACAGAAATTATATTTGTAAAATTATTTATTTTTTAAATAATTAACTGCTTAATACGAAATAATATTTTAAATCATGCGGAAATGTAATTGAGAACAGACTGTAAGTTCAAATCAATACTTGAAACCAATTTCAACTGAGTAAAACTTAAAACGCCTTCTATAATAAGAGCGGTACTTAAGTTTTGATCTGCACTTAAAACTAGTTTTAGGCAATTAGAGTTCAACCGATCACGTATGGATCGGTGAATGTCGTTTTAAGTGACGTTCAATAATAAAATCTCGACTTAAAATTAGTTTTAAAACTAGATTCACGACTGAGACACCTTTTAAAATACGGTCCTTAGGCTATAAAGTTTTGCCCGGTTCCCGTACCGGGCAAAACTTTAGCGAACCCACTAAGGCAGCGCTTCTCAAACCCCACGCGAACGAAGTCGCAGGCACCAGCTAGTCTAAACTATATCTACACAGATAGTAAGAATGTAGTTTGTATGTGGAGTAGTATGTGTGTGAGTGAATGGTGTTTGTATAGCGTTTATGGGACGTTCATAGTGTGATGGATGAATGTTTATATTCCCTAACAATATAGACGAATCTAACGACACCCCTCAATTCAAAATCCATGAAGCCGTTTAGGCTACAGAACGTGCTAGAGAAACATACAAACATTCATTCGAAAACATAACCCTCGTTCTAGCGCGGTCGGGTAATAAGTAGAACATAACTCTTCCAACAAATAAAACATTTATTCATAAAAAAATACTTTAACAAAATACAGTTCAAGGACTCTTAAATTCTACATTTTCTCTATATCTCTGGTATTTGTCTATTCTCTCTGGTTTCATACGGCTGCTGTTCTTGCGCCAATTCTTCTTCCTCGTCGAAGACCTCCTCGTCATCTACTGCTGCTTCCTAAATAAAAATAAATATGTGTGTTGTTTAACTTATTTTTCAGTTTAAGTATATAGTATAATGAAATCAGCATCAACAATCTCTAATAGTCCACTGCTGGACATCGGCCTCTCCTTAGAAAGGAGGTTTTGGCCTACTATACCACGCTGGCCAGACGGGTTGGTATAGGGTTTGTTTCAAGTTCATATTCTTACCTGGTACTGCTGGTATTCGGAGATCAGGTCGGCCATGTTGCTGGCAGCTTCAGTAAACTCCATCTCGTCCATACCTTCGCCGGTGTACCAGTGGAGGAAAGCCTGCAAACATAAGTATTAAAGTTCAAAGGAATTGATTTTCAGAAATAAAAGAGTTTTTCAAATCGGTTCATAAATAAAGTTCTGAGATATTAAACAAAAAAAAAGAGTACAACCCTCTTTAGAACTGATTTTTTAATTCGATTAAAGATATCAATCTCTAACCGCCAGAGGTCGTCCACGTCAGATTCTTTGGGAGCATGTACTTACCCGTCTCCTAAACATGGCGGTGAATTGTTCGCTGATCCGTTTGAAGATCTCTTGGATGGCCGTGCTGTTGCCGATGAAGGTGGCAGACATCTTGAGCCCGCGGGGGGGCACGTCGCACACCGCAACCTTCAGGTTGTTGGGGATCCATTCCACGAAGTAGCTGTGAATAAAAGATTGCACTATTTTTAGGCCAATATTCTTGAAGCCGTAAGTCTGTAGAGATAGTTTCTAAAATAGGCTTTTTTAGGAATGGTGTTATAACTAATATTGATAAAAATACAAAGACCACTGGTTAATTTCTAGACTTATAAAGGGCATTCGACACTGTCTCTATCCCACTTCTTCTACAGAAGATGGAATCACTTGGGATACGTAGTTCGACTCTTGAAATTTGCACCTGATACCTCAGAGACCGCGCACAAAGTGTATTAATAGATAATATCACTAGCTCTGAAGTTCAACTGACCTATGGGGTTCCCCAGGGAAGTGTAATCGGTCCCACTCTGTTTCTTATTTATGTTAATGAGCTTTGCTGCCTTATAGTCAAAAGATGTAGAATTATTTCCTATGCCGACGATACTGTCCTGCTAGTAGATGGACCTACCCGGAACTCTTCGCGTAATAATGCTGAAATCGCCTTAAGCTTGGTAATTCAAAGGCTCGAAATAAACTTACTCACCCTCAACCTAGAAAAAACCAAGTTCATGACTTTTTCCCAGACTCCATCTTCCCAACCGCCAACCTCATTCGAGATCAAGGCACATATATGTACAACACCTACAACTGCAGTTGAACATCTATAGTTCGTTGTAACTGCATTAAATATATTGGGGTCACAGTATATAATTATTATAATATGTAATAATTAGTAAATAATTTTACTTGGGATTTACAAATTGATCAAATTGTTACGCGGGTTAGAAAGTTTTTTTTAAAAGCTGGGAAATGCTACAGATCCTAACACGATGAGATGGTTTACTATGCGCTAGTTCAATCCATAATCGGTTATTGCGTTACGTCCTGGGGTGGACTGAATTTCATCAGGAATTGCATACCTGGAGTTCTTGTTTTGTATGGCTAGTACTTGTTCGTCGACTTCTTTCATGGACATTTTGCCTCGGAACATCGTGGCTACTGTGAGGTAGCGCCCGTGGCGAGGGTCTGCAGCCGTCATCATATTACTCGCGTTGAACATCTGGCAACAAAGGGTGGTTTTTTTTTTAAAGACAACACCCGCAATAGAAATAAAACTGGAAACGGAGAACTTTACAAACATACATACAAACGGACACAAAGGACACCCAGACTCAGAACCACAATTTGTGGATCACACATAGTGTCGTCCCATGTGGGGATCGAACCCACAACACTCAGCGCAGTAGGCAGCGGCGAGGTGACCGCCTAAATAACTACGCCATCCGTGCAGTGAATTAATCTGTTGTCCCATGTGGGGATCGAACCCACAACGCTCAGCGCAGTAGGCAGCGGCGAGGTGACCGACTAAATCACTACGCCATCCGTGCAATAAATTAGTCGGTTAACTATTAATAGTAGGCTCTGAGTCCCTAGTAACGACTGTTTTTATCACACATTGGTAAGTGACTACCACCGTACAGCGACGACACAAGTATGTTACCAGCTTTTGAGTGCTCTTCCCCACAGAAGGAGGGCGGGAGGGTACTAAAAACATCTCTATTTCCAGGTGATAGGCGAAGGATCAATAGCGTAGTAAGATATATGTAAACCAGAACTTACTCCTTATTTCTTATGTATCATGGTATATTGTTTCAATAATTGCATTTATTTATGATATTTATTTCAGTGAAATTTAACATTGCTCCATAATATTATTATAACATTGTATACTACGATATGGTATAATCCGTGTGGTGATTAAGAATACAGTGTCACCCCCCCCCCCCCCTATTAATCCCGTGGGTGTCGTAAGAGCCGACTAAAGAAGCAAACTAAGCAGGACAACAGCACTGCAGAGAGAAGGAAAACTTGACACAAACCCTATACCAACCCGTCTGGCCAGCAATGTATAGTAGTCCAAAACCTCCTTTCTAAGGAGAGGCCTATGTCCAGCAGTGGACTAGTAAAAGCTGTCGATGTTGATGTGATGATACTACGGTAACATACGGTACAACTCCTTCTATGCATGCGGAGTTTACCTTTAAGTATGTTGCACTGTTCCTATTTTCCTCTTTATGTGATTTTTGCTGTGTATAAATACTTATGTAAACAATTGTTGGCAAACCAATAAAATAATTCAACGAAAACTGCTTAATACCGGTGTTCTGCAAGGGCGTGGTATCAGTCGGGCCCACCAATATCCCACGACACCAAAAGCTGGTTTGAAACGGTGGTGATATATTTATAAAAAAAAAAGCCGTGTGGTGTCGTGGGACACCTGATAGGAACGAAGTTGTGACGATCGAGTAAAACTGATTTGACACGATTTTAATTACAACGCCATCTATGAAAGCGGCTATTACCTAAATATTAAAAACAATTAAAACAATTTATACATTGGTAAAATTTCCTATCTATTCGATAGATGGCGCTGAATGTCTGAAAAGATGACACGAAAATAAAGAGCAAAAAGCCAACATCACGTGGTATTCCCAGGCGGTCACCCATCCAAGTACTAAACACGCCCGATGTTGCTTAACTTCGGTGATCGGACGAGAACCGGCGTATTCAACATGGTATGGACGTTGGCGAAGGTTAAAGCAAATTTAATGTATGGTATCCACAGTTAGACGTCAATTTATATTAAAAAGTGTCGTGACAAATTTTCGTACGAATTTTTTCCGTCTAGCCCCTTTCACAACGCGGCGATAAGGAACTTCGTTCCAACTTTCTTCTTACTATCGTTATAAAAGCAAAACTTTGGATGGATGATTGTAACTCAATTATGTCTAAAAGGCTCAACAAATCTGGGTAAAATTTGGTCCAGAGATAGACTTGCAGAAATTTATTGAAAAATCAACATTAACTTGACTGAAGCCGCGGGTAATAGCCAGTATGAAATAAATGGTTTGAATTTACCTGGCTCATCAACTCAGGAACTGTTTGAGGACGGTAGTTGAAGGAGTTCCTAGCGGTCAACGGCGCAAATCCTGAAAAAAAAGTTGAAATTAAATGGAAACCGTCCATATACCCGTTTTTTTATGTTAGAGGGGGCAGACGAGCAGACGGGTCACCTGATGGAATGTGACCATCGCCGCCCATGAACGTCTGCAACTCTGAAGTCACAAACGCGGGCCTTTTAGGAAGGAGTACTCTCTTTTCTATGAACGTAATGTAGGACGCCCACAGGCCAGGTGGAGTGACGATTTGCGCAAGATGGCTGGCAGGAGCTGGATTCGAGAAGTCCAAAATCGATCTAAATTTTTTTTTTAATAATCATATTAGTAGTTACCAGGCATGAAGAAGTGCAATCTTGGGAAAGGAACCATGTTCACAGCCAACTTCCTTAGATCGGCGTTCAGTTGTCCAGGGAAACGAAGACATGTGGTCACACCAGACATTGTCATCTGGTAATGGAAATAAAACATATTGTTTATTACTCTTTCAAAAGTCGTTGTGGAATGAATTCCATAACGTTCATTATAGAATGCAGTCTACAACCGTGTATTGTGTACGTTTCGACCAGGTTGCACTGGCCGTAGTCACAGATCTGTTCTCGTTAATATTTACAAGATGACATGGTCGGTAAGAGATTTAGACTCACCGATATCAAATGGTTCAAATCACCGTAACTGGGACTGCTCAACCTCAAGGTTTTGAAGCAGATATTGTAGAGGGCCTCGTTGTCGATGCAGAAAGACATATCGGTGTTCTCCACCAGCTGGTGTACGGATAGCGTCGCATTGTATGGTTCCAGGACTACCTCACTCACCTACAACATAGAGTATAATGTAAAACAGTGTAAATACATATATGCCTGATGTGCGACGGCTCCAATCCGTCTGGCCAGCGTGGTATAGTAGGCCAAAACCTCCTTTCTAAGGAGAGGCTTATGTCCAGCAGTGGACTATTAAAGGCTGTTGATGATGATGATGAGACGGCTGTTGGCGTGGTGACGCGTTGTCACGCCAAGCGTCGCCAGTCAGACATCTTAGAGATAGGATTTGCTCTTTACCTCAATACGATACCTAGGATTTGCTCTGCACCTCAGGAATCACAAACGCGTGTCGGCCTTTTAGGAAGGAATACGCTCTTTTCTTGAAGGTTAAAGTCGTATCGGTCCGGAAATACCGCAGACGATAACCCGTTCCACAGATTGGTTGTGCGGGGCAAAAAGTGTCTCGAAAAACGCACAGTAGTGGAGCGCCAACTATCCAGGTAATGAGGATGAAAATTTTACGTTTTGGAAAGATGGCGGAAATTTGATTTCGACTCCAAGAGGTCTCTGGGACTCCCTGCTGTAGAACCTACACCTTTGGTACATGTGAAGGCAGAAATGAGCAATGTACGTACTTTAGGTGAAGGCACAACGCTGAAAGTGTTCATAATCCTGTCAGGGAACTCCTCGCGGATCTTGCTGAGGAGTAGGGTGCCCATGCCGGAGCCGGTGCCACCGCCCAGAGAGTGGGTTAGCTGGAAACCTGAAAGAATATCACTCTTAGGAAAATTTACAATTACGCGAGCGAAACCGCAGGCTACAATTTGTATTTCATACATACATTTTAACAGTTTTAATTATTATTATACCTTTCCTTGATGTTTATAATAATAGCCATGCCTAAACATAAAAAAAACGAAATCGAAATCGATCTTGCGTTATGTGGAGTTTTTCAACTCTGAAGCAGCATTTTTTGAATTAATTGGTCCCGGACTTTGACGTTCTTGATATATCACCAGTATTTCTAATGTCAGTGCTTACCTTGCAGACAGTCACAGCCCTCTGCCTCTTTTCGGAGAACGTCCATCACTGCATCAACGAGCTCAGCGCCCTCTGTGTAGTGTCCTTTTGCCCAGTTGTTGCCTGTCAAAAGAAAAAAAGTGTATTTTTTTAATATGAGCTGTCAGCGGTGGTCAAATATTAAACGGCCTATAAACACGCGCAAAGCTGAGACGCCGCTGTTCGTCCGTCCGTCTGTCTGTCTGTCCGTCTGTCACGAGGCTGTATCTCACGAACCGTGATAGTTAGATAGTCGAAATTTTCACAGACGATGTGTTTCAGAGATTGCCTCTGAGCGATAAGGCCGCCATTTGTACTTGTCTAACCTAAGTTAATTATTGTATATTCATACCTGGTGTACAATAAGATATATTATTATTCTGTTGCCGCTATAACAACAAATACTATAAACAGAATAAAATAAATATTTAAGGGGGCTCCCATACAACAAACGTGATTTTTTTGCCGTTTTTATAGATAATGGTATAAAACCCTTCGTGCGCGAGTCCGACTCACACTTGGCCGGTTTTCTTAATTATTTGGGAAATGACAATTGTAAGTTTATCACAAATCCTTTTTCTGTGTATTCAGTTTTACTGTAAAACTGAATATAGGGAATTTGGGGTCGGGTTTGTAGTATGTCACTGTTTTTGTTTTTTGTGAAACACACACATGTAAAACACACTCACCTGCTCCACTCTGCCCAAATACAAAGTTGTCAGGTCTGAACAGCTGGCCGTAAGGACCGGACCTCACAGAGTCCATGGTGCCGGGCTCCAGGTCCACCAACACAGCGCGTGGGACGTATTTACCTGTAATTATTTCCAAACATTATTTGCCTCGAATGTACTTTTCACAAGCACTTACTTATTATTCATATCAACGTTGTCCTTATTTTAAACAACTAAAAATATTCACTTTTATTAGTGGTAGGGGAAATTTATCAAGGTACACCCTCAGGTATTTAAACGGTCAGAAGATGTTACTCAGCGTGATAGCAAGAAACCCAGACAGGCTCGTTATGGACATGATACCAAGAAGTAGTCGGCTGCAAAATAACTCTTCCGCTATGTGCATAAAAATATGTAATAAAACCCCAAATTGTATAAAGGGATTACACTTAAATAAGTTTATAATAAAACTAGGTTGGTGGTTTATGCAAAATAATTTTAGTTCCACTAAGGAATTTCTTGAACATTGAGGGACAGAAAAACCAATACGTGGCTTCGTAAACAGAGCAAAGTCTCAGACGTTGAAAAAAGGGTAGCAAAGTTGAAGTGGAAGTGGGCTGGTCATGTAGCCAGAAAACAAAACTCTTGATGTAAAAGAGTGTTGGAATGGACACCATGGGACCAGAAAAGACCTCGAGGGCGACCACAGATGAGATGGAAGGATGACATCAAAAAAGTAGCGGGCAACAACTCGACCCTAATTGCCCAAGACAGAGGAAAGTGGAAAGGATTAAAGGAGGCCTTCACCAAATATTTGGTCGATTAAGACTAAGGAAGAAGAAGAAAGAAGAAATTTCTTACAAATAAGGAAAAGTAAGAATAAGAAATGGAACAAGAGCCGAATATTATTAATACAGGGTTGACCTGAGGAAAGACTGTAATAGTAATATTATATAGGTACCTAAGGTTTTTTAATAATTTGTTAAATTTGCATGCTATTTTCATGGCTAAATGGGCCTGTTAAATAAAAATACCACATTATTTACTACCCCATTTAAAGCAAATTAATAATTTGAATTTTATCCCTTTTTATCATGACCCCCTTATCACATCCCCTTTTTCCATCCGTGTGGCGACCACCCCTATTCATCCCTTTGGTATCGTAAGAACTTCGGCTCTTGCTCCCTTATTCGTAAACTATGCAGAACAATAGCACTGCAAAGAAAAGGAAAACTTGAAACTAACCCTATATAGCGTGGTATAGTGGACCAAAACCTCCTTTCTAAGGAGAGACCTATGTCCAGCAGAATAATCTTATTCGTTTTTTTTTTCATAGTAAAAGTCAAAAAAGAACCGAAGATAGTGACTCAATGGTAAGCCATTACCGCCGCCTATGGAAACTAGAATTTAAGTAATAGGTACCGGCCTTTCAGTGCCCCTGGCAGAATTTAGTGTTGGGTCTCTGGTAACTTCACTCACTCGGTGAAGTGCTAAGAAAGAACAGCTTAACACCGATTTCTGTGAGGCACTCACACTATATCACTCAGGTCCAGCCGGCAAATAAAAGTGTAATTAAAAAATGCAAAAATACGGTAGAATTTCGACTTACACAGTGTTAACGCCGTATACGCCGATAGTTTGTCTATGCTATTCTTGTCATTCGTATCGCATCACTATGCACTGTAACTACCACACAACTTATTTTTCTTTTCTTTCCGACTTCCGACGAGAGAGCATTGCGATACACAAAATTGTAAATAACCAAGTTATCTTGGACATTAAAGCCACGAAGGTTCGAAGTATTTTTCTTTACTACGTTGAAGCCCCAACACACAGTGTTATTACTTCCACTACTACAATATATTCAATAAACTGAAATGTAAAATGGCGGTAGATGAATAGGAAAAGATTAGACAAAAAGCTTACCTCCTGAAGCTTCATTGTAATACACATTAATCCTCTCGAGCTGAAGGTCACTCGTGCCCCGGTAAATGCCCGTCGTATCTACTCCATGTTCATCTGATATGATCTCCCAAAACTGAGGACAAAAGGAATCATCATCACTATTTGTTAGTCCATAAATCACCTCCCGCTTGCTACTGCGTTGAAGATTGTGGGTATGATCCCCACATGGAATTACAATTTGTGTGACACACAAACGGATGTTCTGAGTCTGTGTGTTCTTTGTGTTTATTCCTAGTGCGGAAATTGCCTTTTTTTTAATCATTGTGGTAATAAGTTTAAGTTAATAAAAGGTCAACATTATATTACTGGTCGATTAAATATTTTTGAGGCCGTCTTAACTTATGCTAGCGGAACTGACGATAGTAGTCCGTAATGTTACGTTTCTAATCTATTCAAGGTAATTAAAAAATAAACAATATATCACTTCGACTTGGTCAACAAATTAAAATAAAATAATTTCTTGAATTCAGTTGCAGCGACATTCTAAAGGAATTGGACTGTGTAATTGTGAATCTAACTAAACAGAGACCACCAAACAACGATAGAGAGTTAGCTGCTCCTCTGCCCCCTATGTAATACATATAAAAAAAACATTTGGCACTTTATGACTTATGGGGCAAAAGTGCTGCCGGGTCATCTGATGTTAAGTGTTCACCTTCACCCATAGACACCTACAATTAATAAGTTATAAGGTCGTTGCCGCCTTTTGAGTCGTTTCCTAGAATCGGGGGAGGTTGGGACCCACAGAGGCAGTTTGACACCATGAGAAACTGCCTCTGTGCGTCCGAATCTTATCCCAATAACTAATTTATCGTTAATATAATCCCTATTGTTGTGTAGGTATGGCAAAGTTTTGACTGCACATGGGACAACACTTTGTGTGATCCACAAATTGTTGTCCTGGGTCCGTGTGATCTTTGTGTCCGTTTCATGTATATTTGTAAAGTCCCTCGCGACATAGGATTTATTGTTAGTGCGGGAATTGTCTTTAAAAAAAAAACGTTGACCTTGCCTGTACTTTTGTAGCTTTATTTATATATTTTTTAAATTATTTATTACATTTCATTGTTGTGGTTGTGTGAATGGTTGACTATATTATTAATGCTTGTTTTATAAAAATATATTTGGCTCCTTTACACTATAGTTTATATTAGCTTATAACTATGTATTTTTTTGTTATTGCATAGGCCGATTTACGTCAGACACTCACTAAAAGGTCTGTCAAGAAGACGCTGAACCAGCTCCTAACCGACTGGGACGTTAGGTACCTACACGTAAAATTGGATTTTCGTTTAAGCTTAGTATTAAGTTTCCTTTATATTGTTAGTGAATGTTCGTGCGTCCACGAATAAATCGTTTTCTTTCTTTTGGACTTCGGTCACTTCACCTACTCGATGACATGCAAAGAAAGAATAGCTTAACAGCAGTTCCGGCTCCGAACGAGCTGGCCTAAATGTACTGAAGCTTGACCGTCCCAAATTATTATTTTATGGAAGGTAGCCTTTATACAGCATTGTTATATAAACGACCTTCGAAAGTCTAATCTGTTTATTTGTATCAGTAAGGTAGATAGGCAACAGTTTTACTAGTAACAATAAAATTATTTTGATTAAATGAACGCTATTAAAGATACAGCAGTACCTAATGCATCTAATCAAAACAAAGCTGTGTAGTGTGTCATGATTCATATGGTGACGGATTAAGAATACGGAGTGTTCAACAACCCCTACAGACAACAAACTACGCAGAACAACAGCACTGCAAAGTGAAGAAAAACTTGACACAAACCCTCTACCAATCCGTGTGGCCAGCGTGGTATAGTAGGCTAAAACCTCCTTTCTAAGGAGAAGCCTATGTGCAGCAGATGATTAGTAAAGGCTGGTGTTGATGATGATTATGTTTAGGTGAGATTTAGACTAGATAATTGTTTAATTCTTTAAATCTAATCTAATCATAAATAAAAAGACAAATATACACACTCACGTCTGTTTTTCTTAAAAGGGTAGACAGAGGGGTTTTAAACGCCCACATTTTGTCGACTATGAGTCTCATTTACGTAATACGTGGCAGGCCTTTTGCCGGTAAATAAATACAAATGAAGGATTACATTACCAGCCTTTCTCAGACCACTGATGGACATAAGTCTCTCGTTAGAAAGGAGGTTTTGGCATACTATAAAACGCTGGACAGATGGGTTGGTGTAGGATTTGTTTCAAGGTTTCCTTCTCTTTGCAGTGCTCCTGTGTCCTGAATAGTTTGCTCCCTTAGTCGGCGCTTACGACACCTACGCGATGAATAGGGGTGGTGACATTCCGTATTCTTAATCTGGACACGGACTGAAACTACATGGTTTAGTGGGATCGAATCCGATATATATATATATATATACACCGTGACTCGCAGTGAGTTGATGACCCATGATGGGTTTCATAAAAAAAGATTTTTTTAGTTCCAGTTTTTTTTTAATTGCCCAGTACTTTAATGTTAAATTTGAGGAAAACAAATTCTAATAACTTTGTAACACATCTCGTCAAAAATTTCCTTATTTGTTTAATTAAACCATTTGCTAACTAGTTATTAAAAAATATTATTACGAAAATAAAAACGGGGTCAAGCGTAAGTGTAAGTCACGTGAAGTGTTGAGTCTCTAGTGTAGTTTATTGTAATAAGTTTTAACCAAGTAACAATATCATACAAGTAATTTTTTTCTAAGATTTTTTATGAAATTTTGACGTGGGAGGGTCCTATTTTGGGAAAAACGGGACAGCTCGACCGGACTGACACTACATCCTCACAGGAAAACCTGCAATGACTGCAATGAGGTCCCGACTCTGCGACGCCTAAGCCGGGCAAATTGCCAGCGTGTGCTCAGCCGAGTCCTCACTGCAATCGCAGTGGTGACAGGCAGGACTCAATTCTCTCCTAGCGACCGATTATAGGTTCTTCCCGAAGCAGCCGTTGCTGCCGTCCTGCCCACTCGACAATGACTGGCTGGAGGGCCTAAACGGTGATAAAACCAGCACGTGAAGCCTCCAGCCATGAAGCCTCCCGAGCCATCGAGCCTCACAGGAAACCTGTGTCAAGCAATCCTTTAGTTCTTTTTCACCTAATGAATGAAGTTACCAGACCCCCAGACTCCCCTTGCCCTAATTCTTTAGAAAGAGACTCAAAGGGCGAAAATGCACTTCGAACCCTAGAGTTGTAGGTGTCCATGTGTGACGGTAGTCACTTGCCACCAGGTGACCCGTCTGCGTGTTTGCCCCTATACCATAGAAACACTTGAATATAACAAAAATAGCGCTTTAAATCACAATCAAAAATAATATTTACAATTGCCAACACCCTGTACTCGCCAAGAAAATAGTCCTAGTGGCGTTAAACACGTGTATGACTAAGAAGGGAGAATAGATATCATGTAAGGTGGTTTTAGCTTGAACCACGATTTTGTCACCATAGAACTCTTACGTCGAAAAGCACCTTTTCCAATTTCGATTGTTTTAACCAAAAATAGTCTTTATGGTACTGTCTATTTCAAGTTAAAAATTTTAAGATGGTTGTGCATGACAATGTAGTAGGTATTCAAACATACACGCAATACCAATTTTCCAGTGATCTTTTCAATCACAGGACGGTCATACACGACTAATAATAATAATAACTTCACACGTGTCACACACGGCGTATGATTCCGACTAGACAGAGCCTGTATTATGGTAACCAGACTGCTGATATATATACTCATACATATATATCTTAATACATACATGTTATGGATAAATTACATCCAGACGCAGAACAAATGATCGTGCTCATCACACAATTATTTTTCCTGCGTAGGAATTGAAACACCGACTTCTGGTTTATCAATCAGGGTCACTAACCAACAGGCCGTACGCTGGACTAAGACCATTTGATTTAGATCAAATGGATTATATCTTATAATTATGGCAATCTCAGTTTCAATTCCCGATATCCTATTCGTTACCCTAATTTATTTATTTTTTGGTCCCACCTAAAAACGATTACGTTCTCAAGGAGGATTTGCGCCAATTGCCGTCATAGCCGGCCATTTTCCGAGCCCTTTTTTCCCAAACTAGGTCGAAATAGGCTTTAAGTCTACTATGATAAGACTGAATTTCGTTTTTCCCGCCGGCAGACCTCCACAACCCAAGTAGGCGATATCGAAGTTCTGTAGAAACACTGTTGTCTTGCTTTTTACGGCTTCAACAACCCGTAACGATTGCCACAGATGTATGTATGGCAACGGAACTGACGGATTAACGTGCTCTCCGAGGCACTCTGTCAGCCATAAACGAAACAAATCAAAACTATTACACATTATCCGACACTGAAATAAAAATTGATATTTACAACCTTAAAAACGTCGTACATGAAAAACGTAATGGAAAAAAAAAAACTGTAACAATGTTTATGTGTCATAGGATGTCATCATTTCATATAATTTTGCTTATCTAATCTGTATTAAAAAATATATATGTATTTTTAAATCCATTTAGCAACTGAGGCTTGGGAAACATGACTTTCTACGAATGCTTTCTGTAAAAGTGTAAATATATGTTTTTTAATTAGAACCCGCGTTCACGCACTATGACTAATGAAAAAAAAAACTGTTCTAAATTCAAACACAGACACAAGGTTGTCTGTGAAATTTGTATATATTTCGTGAAACACAACTTTTTAATAACTTTTTTTATTTAGAGAGTTTGACAATATCTAGATAGGTTTATTTACCTTGGATCCGATTTGATTCCCACATTGACCAGCTTGAACGTGCACTATTTCACGCATTTTCGACAGACGACCGAGTAAGATTGGCCCTGTGATAAAATAAGTCCAACACGTCAACACCCAATCGGGAATGATTTATCAAGTTAGTTATTATCGTCCATTTCTCAGTATGTTGTGATTGTGGTGTTGCCAGCTCGCGAATTTACCTTAAATTGTGGGTATTAGATTCGCTTATAAAATACTTAAATAAAAAATAAAATTCTGTTTGTTGGTGATCTAATTAAATAAGTGACTCCGGTATGATTGTTTCCGATAATCACGGTCCAAGGATTGGAATGAAGAATAAATTAATAATTTGAAAAATATGGAAAAGTATAAAAGTTTCTTTACGTGTAATCTTCACGTAAAAAATTGGGTGAGTGCGACAGATGACAGCAAGGAGATCTTTAACGAAATTGATGTGTTAATGTCCAGTTCTTTAGTTTTTTACACTGTTTTATCTATTATTTCCAGAAGAAAACAACAGTTTTTGTAATTATGTGAAAAAGTAGAAAAAAACTGTAAAGGAAAGAATTGGTCTGCCTTCATTAGTACGTAGCTGCGTAGGTGCAAAAGTTAGCGATAAGAGGCACAAAAAACTAAGTAAAAGAAATACTAGTAGGTAAAGGTAAATTCTCGCTATGGCAATACCACGTGATAAGGTAATGCAGCACTTTACAGATAACGATAAAAGATAAGCCAACAGATATTCAATCGACCATTTTTTATGATCCCTTTTCTTATAAAAAATGTTCTACAGGAGGGTTTATGATATACTGGTGCTCTAACCAGTGATGAAGATCTCTGTATTCAAGTCACATGTTCTATTTATAGTGTCAAGTTAAATAGGCTCTACTATTTGTCATTGAATGAACATTTCAATCAGTTTAGGTATAAGGTGTGGCGTTTTGTGAATACCTACTTATATTGTAGGTGTATGAGAAACCTAGAGATAGTGTAATGCATCATCTAAAATAATGAAAATACATATTAAAACCTAAATAATAAATAAAGTGAAATCAAGTAAAACTAAATCTTCACGGCATGGTGATCAAATGTCATCCAATCTATCTATACCTAATAATCTGAACATGTTAAGTAGGTATACCTACTCACAATGATAGACTGTTCTGTATAGCGCTATAATTGGTTTAGATTTATCAAATTATGCTACATTAATAAGTTGATTTGGCAACTGGATAATCATTTTTTTTATTTCTGGACATTTGTTGGGCAACTGTAAGAAAAAAACTCATAGGTTGTTATCACTGAAAGAACATTCCGAACACGATGAATGATGGGCAATGGCTGAGAACCATTAATAAATAGAATTTCATACCATAAATATTTTTTTGCAATGCTATTTTAAGTTTTTACATGATATAAAAAAAAATAGAACTTTGTTTATGTTATCTCACATCAACAAATTAAAAACTTAGCCTGTATTGAAATAATTTCAGCTTAGTTTTTAATGTGGTTTTTAAACGCACCTCAGCAATGACATTCACTAACAGTGTTGCCATAAAGTTACTTTAAATTCTCCGCAACTTTTGACTCCCTCGCTTAACATGTAATTTTTACTTTTGAAAACCATGAGATTAGTAATACTTGTTTTTTTTTGCAAACAGTTTACAAATTGAACGTACCTAAAACTTGAACTTAAAAAGTTTTTCACTCCATATTAGTGAAAAGTACTACTCGTATTATGGAGTGAAATACTTTCATTCCATTCAGAGATGGCTCTGAATGGAACTAATGGAAAATTAAACGCATTGTGGTTGGATCAAAATTTGATTTTGCTTGAGCGTGTGCGTTCATGTTTTCTACTTCGCAAGTTCGCGCCGTTTACGGTAATTTACGATATCGTAGCTCGTGCCTCGTGAAACCTCGTGCCGTAAACTTGCAAACTAAAAAGTGCTGGTCCTAAAACCAAAAGTGAAGACTTAAATATGCCGAGATTTTTTTACGAAAAGATTTATATAACTTTACTATGTTGTTTACATAAGTTACTTAAATAAAAAATGACTTTAAAATTTCAATTAACTTTTGCAGCAAAAATGTAACATTTCAGGCAACACTAAAGAAGTGAAAGTGACTAAATCACTAAAGTCTAAACAAGTCAAAGTGTAGGCAATTCTATACTTTGTTTAAAATTAATTAAATAAAATAGTTCACATTTAAAAGTTCCAACCATGTAATCTAAAAGGAAAAACCTAAAATAACAAAGATGTTTCCGCATCAGGAGACAACAAACTCGAGATTGATAAAAAAATGAGATTAATAAAAGTCACACTTAGTTTAATAATAATAATTGCTGCATATCTTGGAGATTATATAGTATTTAGTTCAAAACATTCAAGTTCATTTCTATTTCGCGCCGTTGCTGACACCTGCCTCCACGGAGGTTTAGGATTTTTGTCTTCTGTGATGTTTTTTAGTCATGAAAATAATTTAAATTTACAAACTTACATCTATAATATAGCATTTTGTACATTTATATCATCAATTATTGATATCGACCATTTTTTTGTCGCAAAATCTTTTTACTTAAAGGTTAGTAAATTATTTATATGCTTGTAATAAATCTGCATAGTTGAAATATAGTGAAACTCGGGCTGCAAAATGATTTTGTGCAGCCCTAGTTTATATAAAGATTATATAAATTTTTATTTATATTATTATTCTATAAAATTTGCACTGTACTGACTTTGTCTTTAACCAAATTCTGTTATTTAAATGTTAATATGTGAGTACAAATTTAATTAATACTTTAAGTTTATTTGTTGAAGAAATGCATAAAGATTAAAAAGTATGTGAGAAGATAAGAAAATATGGAGTGTCACCACCCCTATTAGTCCAGTGGATGTCGAGTAAGGGTGACTAGTAAGGGTGACGAGCAAACTACACGGAATATACACTGCAAAGAGTAGGAAAACTTAGAACAAACCCTGTACCAACCCGTCTGGCCAGTGTGGTATAGTAGGCCAAAAACTTCTGTCCAAGAAGAGGCCTATGTCCAGCAGTGGACTATTAAAGGCTGTTGATGTGATTTGACATGTAACTTGTTTAGTATAATATTCTGATAACATCATCTTTATTAATAGTTGAATGTATAACAGGAAAGTACCTTCCTTGTGTGAATCAACATCATTGTGCAAATCTAGTTTTAATAATAACAATCTCACACGACCATCTTATCTCAAAATAAGCAGACCCTGTACTATGGTAACCAGACTGCTGATAAACTTACTTATAAATTTCTAAATACAAAGATATTAATATTATCTTTATTGTTAAAAGTCTGGTGCTACTATTCTTTTTTCTTTTTATAAAGACAACTCCAGCACTAACAATATATCCTGTGTCGCAGGGGACTTTACAAATATACATTAAACGGCCACAAATAACACCCAAACTCAGAACAACAATTTGTGAATTGCACAAAGTGTTGTCCCATGTAGGGATCTTGCCCACAACACTCAGCGCAGTAAGAAGCGGTGAGGTGACCGCTTAAACCTCTACACCATCCATGCGGTCAATTTCAATTTTTTTACTACTTTCTTTAATGGCTGGCTGCCTGCCAGAATCTAATATTTTTAGGAATGTGACTACTAGACACAAGTCTCACATTAGAAATGGGATGTGACTGTAAATTCAGTATCTCAAACAGACTGTCCGTTGTGTTATCGGATAGATCTCTCCATCAGAGCTTCAAGTAGCTTAAGTTGCTCATTTAAAAAAAAAACAACCAACTTCAAAAAGGAGGAGGTTATCGACCGGATGGCGTAGTGGTTTGTGTAACGGACTGCTATTCTTAAGGTCGCGGGTTCGATTCCCGCTCAAGTCAAACATTTGTGTGCATGATCTTTTAATGTTTGATTTGGTCTGGGTGTTTCTATGTATAATATGTATGTATTTACAAAAAAAAAGTATATATGTATTTAAATCAGTTGTCTAGTACCCATAGTACGAGCTCTGCTTAGTTTGGGACTAGATGGCGTTGTGTGAATGTGGTATAATATTATTATTATTATTATAATTCAGATATTTATTTTTATTTTTTATGTATGTTCAGGCATAACTCCGTCATATAGGTATGCTCGGATTTTCAATATTCTTTTTTGTTTGAACGGGGTTTATTCCGAAATGGTCTCATTTAAATTTCATATAGATCAGATGTGTTTCGGAGACAGGTAACGGAACTCTTCAAAAAATGACAGCAAATCCACCACTTTGTTAGTATTTTTTAAAAGGATTTATAACTTTTTAATTTTGTTTCCAGGACCTGACCAACCTGAAACAAAGGGGTATCTTCCATTGCACGTCTTTCTGGCTGCTACTGATTACAATATTGCTGTTATATAGTTATTCACAAAAGAAACTGAACATATATATTTTAAGTTTTATGTTAATATTAGCCTTCACCAGTCATCATATCCGCGATGGGAATAGACGTGGTTTATGGTTTTATCCGTTCGGGAGTTCACCGCCCATAGACAAGAGTTTATATATTACTCTTCTGTCTATATTACCGCATGTGATAGCTTATTTCTATTTAAGATTTAAAACGGCTTTTACTGACGTTGTTACTATTGATTATACTTTTGTTGTTTAGAGGTAAATAATTATTTTTGAAAGGAGTAAATATAGGTGGTAACAAAAAGTTTACACAAAGTTCTACACAGGTTTTTATGGATAATATTTACTACTATAGTAATACAATTATGGATGATAAAGGATTAATAATGATAAATTGTATCCGCGCTACGCAATGTAAGCATACCAATGCGATCTCCGCAAAATTTTACAAAGTGCGGGTACTTTTGTCAAACAAGTACGCGAGGTCAAAGACCTTTCATGTGCCACGACAGTTATCAACCACATTAAACATCACATCAACAGCTTTTAATAGTCCACTGCTGGACATAGGCCTCTCCTTAGAAAGGAGGTTTTCAATCGATTGCATCAAATGATTTAATACTTTTGGAGTGGTAACACCGCATTTCTTCTACATTACTTATTAAGTAACTATTTTTAACCAAAAAAATATAATATATAAAAAACATTCCTACTGAAAATTGATATAACCAAATTTTGCATTGTATATTAGTCAAATTTCTAAATTCTTATTAACTCAGAACAATCCTGGGAAATAAGTAAAAGGTCATTTACTTCTGCAGGTTCCTTAAAAATATTGCTGTTTAATCCTCACACACCTTCTTATTCAGAAGAACGATTTAAGATTCTTCATGATAGTCACGAATTTTTTACAAAATCTTAAACAAAAGTGCCATTGCAGTCTACAATTTTTTTGTTAATGTTTTTCCTTTCCTATCTGTTCCTTTGTAGAATACATTATCAGTATTAATGCGGTACGCTGAAAGCAAGCATCATTATCTAACATTGTAATATTATTTATTATATTCTATTCAATAGATAATATCGAAATTACTGTTAAATATAATATGTAATCTATACTAATATAACTAAATATATGTCGTTGCCAGATTTAAAAATTAATTATATCATGTTTTATTCAACTACTTCATGATTTGTTTTAGCCAATTCAATGAATATTTAGCGTTTGAAAATATGAACAGGGCCTCGAGCAAGTTAATTACACATTAACTCGCTCGTCACGGTGACGGCGTTTCGCGTTGTAATTTCTGAAGATTTCCGTGATGACCTCGGCCCTTAATCAAATAATATAAACTTTAAATTAATATTTGAATTACAATACAATAACATTATATTGTAATATATTTATTCTTCAGCAATGAAGGTCATATCAGATGACACTGGTTTTAGTACAAAACCATGAGCTTGTTCATTTGAGTTGTCCTTATGTGCATTCTCGGTATCGTAAGTTGTATTAATATTGATAATAAACAATTTTCGTCGTCGCCACTTGTATGTTACATTTGGGAGCTTGTCAATAAAGTCAAGGAACCAACTGTTTTAATGGCGACACAATGCGCCAAACATAGGTAGGTCACAGAATTGCCAGAATCTATAAATTGCACAGATACTACAAATACTACAGTTACATTATCCATCCTTTAAAAGGGGCTGATATCGTTTTATTTTTGTGATGCATCATGGCGGTTGACAATTTATTTTGTTTTGAAAGGAAACGCAAATAAGTTAAATTATAATAATATTTATTGATGTCAAGTACAAATGTTCTAATATAGCAGTATTTTCTTAGGTTACCACGGCTCTGGTACCCATGGTAACCTAAGTTAATCTTACATTAAACTTGTGTTGTGGGCACCATTGCCTCTCTCATCCAAAACTAACATTCATTATGTATTTTCTATATTTAACAAAAACCGATATTCTTGCGTGCATGCATGTGTTGAAAATGTGTGTGTGTGTGTGTGTGTGTGTGTGTGTGTGTGTGTGTGTGTGTGTGTGTGTTTGTGTGTGTGAATGTCACAAAGATGGTGATGTGAAATCCAAGAATTGCGTCTGTAGCCGCTTTTCTTCTCAGGCGGACTACTCACCGGCTGACCCAGTGGAGAGATTCAAGAGATTACCTCAGGGCGCCTTGTATGAGAATAGAAGTATGTGCGTGTGGGAAACCTATGGGACTCTTTAGAGGAAAACAACTTACACCTCAGTTATACATACATGTATATTTCAAAAAAAAACTTGATTACATTTACAAAAAGAAATTAAATAAATTAATCAGTGTGGGTACAAAAAAAAAAAGAACCGCAGCGGAGCGCGTTAGAGCCGAGCTGATGGTGCTCGGAGCCTTCTCGTCTTCACTCTGGGAGGTCCCTTCACCTTCCGCCCGAGTCGGCTATTTATATTAGATATTGATGAAAGTTAAACAAATTGCATTTATTAGTTGATAAGTAGGTACGTAACCCTTGGGTACGGCTGTCCGCTTGCGTCGTGAGCCGCGCAATCACCAGATTTGCCAGAGGGTACCGAGAAACTTGATTCTGAACCAGAAGGCCACAAACGAGCAAGCACGCCGTCTGAGACTGACCGTCTTGACCCCGAAATCTGGGACCCTACGAATGGATTAGCACTCATATAATTAATCAGGTTCCAGAAACAAATAGGTAAAAAAAGAATTAAAACCTTACTCACCACTCTCGTGGGTATATTTGAACAGATAATATATTACGAAAATTAAATCACACAACAATCAAAACACTATTTAAGATTGGAAGACACGAGATAGCAGAGTGTCTCCCGTGGCTGAAAGCTGGACTTATATATCCTCGGTTCAGGAAGCTTCCAGACTTTATCCCTACTCAACATTTTACTTTGACATTTAAATCTTGAAAGAAAGCAACGCTTACAAAATCAAAAGTAACTCCCTCCCACCATAGCAGAACACTCTCAACACCTATACAATTTGTCATGACAGATTAACAAAACAGATTAAAAAAAGTAAGTCTTTTTATTAATCTATCATGTCTCAAACAAACGCCATCTAGTGGACCGAAAGTGAACGAAGAAGATCAATACCGTAGCTACAAACTACTTTAGATAAATCAACAACAATGCGATGCGGCCAACAGGAGTCGCTTTTAACAATACCGTACGCATTACAAATGTACAAAAAAATAACTGTTACACGTCGAATACACATACATACATTGAAAGTTAAATAAAAACTTGTAAAAAGTGTGATGAAGTGTCGTTATGACAACTAAAAAAGGCTTTAAATAAGTTTATTTTTGTTATAACCTATATGGATGGATACCTATATACCTATAAGGATACCTATATACCTCATGAAGACACATTAATGACAGAACGGAACGGAATGACGAAAGTAAAAATGCATATTTTGTAATCTTACATAAGAACCATTTTAATAATTTTTATGAATGTCTAATAATTATGTTTTTTTTTAACGTATGGCAACCCCCCGGACCGTCATCAAACCGGGGTTTGCAGTATGCATAGACAGCAGTATGTCGATATTGAAACGACTAAAAATACACGGTGTGCATCTCTGCCTTGAAATAGGACGGATCCGGGAACAGCTGTTATTAAGACATCCGCACCGTAGTACTCGTAAAAAGCTTGTGTTATTGCCTTCTGTTATATTAAGTTAAACTTTATAGAAGTGTTTGTTTCTGTATCATCATCACAGCCTAAGGCGTCCACTTTTGGCCTACTATACTGCTGGCCAGACGGGTTGTTATAGCATTTGTGGCAAGTTTGCCTTCTCTTTTTGCAGTGCTATTGTTCTACGTAATTTGCTCCCATAGTCGGCTTCTACGACACCCACGGGACACTCATAGCTGGCAATTATGTAAATATTAACGTATGTATGTATAGTATTATTGTATAAATATAGATTAGTAGGATTTATGTATGATAAATATTTAATAGGTTAAGACCTTATTTATTTCTCTAATTTATGTACTTAATTATAATACCTATCACCAGTTCAAAATGAATCCATCCAAAGGTTGCCTGGAGGAAATTGCACCAAGCGATAAGGCTGTGGCGGCATATATATATATAGACGAGTTGGTATAGTGCTGTTGTCCTGCGTAGTTTGCTCCTTTAGTTGGCTCTTACGACACCCATGGGATGAACACTCCCTCACCACACGGAAACAATTTGTTATTAATCATTATGAATTTTAATAAACTGTATTCTTCACTCTTAAATTTCCAACCTTAGCGGTGGTATTTTTAATTTTCAAACTGGATTTGGACCAAACTGGTTAGCCGATATTATACTTGGAGAATTTTAGAAATACGTATGTTTATAGCAGTCTGGTTACCGTAATACAGGCTCTGCCTAGTTTGGTTTCAGTAGGCGTAAGATGTGTGAGGTTATAATTATTATTAATTGTTTGCGAAAAGAATTAAAATATTATCTTTATTGATTGGCATCTCGTTTGCGGTTGATAGCGAGTTCGCAGTTTTCATCGCTAGATGGCGTATGCCGTGCACTCTAGGCTCGTTGATTATGATTTGATATCGTAAGGATCTATACATTTTTTTTTTATTGAAACTAAACTTTGCATATAAATGTGCTATGATTTATGTTCCTCTCTTATCCAGTCCTTGTCTCTGTTGTCTCTGCTGAACGAAAGCCTCCCCCAAAGAGCGCTAACAACCCCGGTCTTCGGCGGTCTGCATCCATCCGCCTGCGGTCGCTATCTTATGTTAATTATACAAATGATGACGAGATCTGACAATGAAGTCGAGGAATTGATGATATTTTAACTATTTGTTGGTTACCTACTTAAGAAGTCCTGTATTTTTATTTTACTTGTATCAAGATAAGAAATAACGCCATCTATAGACATAGATTGAACCAAATTAAACAATTTTCACTGAACTGAAACTAATAGTCAACGTAAGATGTCGCTGTAGGCAATAAATAATTTGTATTAAATATTTTTTTTCCCTACAAAATGTTACGTGCCCACAAATAATTTAGGCACATAATTTTGTTCCGAAAACAATTAATTCAGT